AAAGAATGTTCAAACTACTGTACAGTTGTGCTCATTTCACATGCTAGCAAAGTAATGCTCAAAATCCTTCAAACTACACTTCAGCAGTACATGAACCGAGAACTTACAGATGTGTGGTTTAGAAAAAGATTTTCTGGATTTAGAAAAGTCAGAGGAACCAGAGATCAAATTGCCAGCATCTTTTGGATCTCAGAAAAAGCAAGGGAATTCCAAAACATCCACTTCTGCTTCATCGACTGCACTAAAACCTTTCACTGTGTGGATCACAACAAACTATGGAAATTTCTTAAAGAGATGGGAATATCAGACCACCTTACCTGTCTCCCGAGAAACCTGTATGCAAGGCAAAAACTAACAGTTAGAACCAGACATTGAACAACAGACAGGTTCAGAATTGAGAAAGGAGTACATCAAGGCTGTGTATTGTTGCTCTGCTTATTTAATGTATATGCAGAGTATGTCATACAAAATTTGGGGCTGGATGAATCACAAGCTGGAATCAAGATTGCCGAGAGAAATATCAGTAACCTCAAAAATGCAAATGACACCACCCTGTTGACAGAAAGTGAAGAGGAACTGAAGAACATCTTGATAAAAGTGAAACAGGAGAGTGAAAAAGCTGGCTTAAAACTCAACATTCAGAAAACTAAGATATGCCATTCAATCCCATCACTTTATGGGAAATAGAAGGGGAAAAAGCGGAAACAGTGACAGATTTTATTTTCTCAGGCTCCAAAATCTCTGTAAATGGTGACTACAGCCACGAAATTAAAAGACACTTGCTCCTTGGAAGAAAAGTTTTGACAAACTAGACAATGTATTAAAAAGCAGAGACATTGCTGACAAAGGTCTTAGTTTTTCCAAGTAGTCATATATGGATGTTAGAGGCACCATAAGGAAGATTGAGCACCAAAGAATTTAAGCTTTCGAATTGTGGTGCTGGAGAAAACTCTTGAGAGTCTCTTGGACTGCACAGAAATCAAACCTGTCCATCGTAAAAGAGATCAACCCTGAATATTCACTGCAAGGACTGATGCTGAAGCTTCAGTACTTTGACCACCTGATGGGAAGAGCCGACTCGTTGGAAGAGACCCTGATGCTGGGGTAGATTGAAGGGAATGACAGAGGGTGAGATGGTTGGATGGCATCACTGACTCAATGGACATGAGTTTGAGCAAGTTCCAGGAGTTGGTGATGGACAGGGAAGCCTGGCGTGCTGCAGTTCATGGGGCTGCAAAGAGTCGGACATGACTAGGTGACTGAACAACAGTAACAATGCCATTGTGTGGCTTAAAAGTTCAAATGGTACAGAATGGTAAAGGATAAAAAAGCAGGCCTTCTCAGGATCATTGGTGCTAACTCATGGTAATGCTATGTACTCTAGACACAATGTGATGACAATGACACTTCACTGGTTTTCCTTCCCCAAACTCTTAACACCAATCGAATCACGAGGAAAACATCATACAAATTCCATTAGAAGGACATCCTATTAATAGTGCATCAGTACTGATTGACTAATGTGGCAAAGGAACCATACTAATGTGCAGTGTTAATAATAGGGGAAATAAAAAAGGATAGGGGAAACTAGCTGACAGCTGTGTGGGAGCTCCTCTGCACCATCGTCTCAATTTTTATGTAAATCTAAAATTGTTCTAAAAAATAAAGCATTTTTAAAAAGTGTCCTTCCTCCACTGAACTTCTAGTATCCTGCTCTAGAAGGAACTACTTCTTGCCATTTTCTTGTGATTCCTTTGAGAGAGATTTATGCCAAAATAAACGTATTACCACATATGTTTGTTAGTATTTGTAGTACTTTGTTTATATAGTATGTCGTAGTTTAACTGGTCTCCTATGTAGATGGATAGTTGTCTTACTTTGTTACAGCATACTAGTTTATAAGTCTGATATTTGGAACAGAGTTAAGAGGTGGCAGTTGGGAGCTGGGATAGCAGAAGGGAACAATTGATTTTGTTTTGGTATGTAGTTGAATTGATTGATTTGCTGCTCCACATCTCTTCAGAGATAACCAAGTTTTATTTTAGTGTTTAGTTGGATGGATGGATGGATTTAGTGATTCATTTATCTCCGTAAGTTGATGTAAAGCAGGTTGTCTTTTTTTTAGTTATTTAAATGTATTTGATGAGTAGATAAGAGATGTGCTCTGTACACTATTAGGTTGGTGCAAATATAATTGTGGTTTCAGACCATGAATTTTATTTATTTATTTATTTATTTATTTTTTAGACCATGAATTTTAAATCACTGTAATTAGGCTCCCACACATCCTACACATGCCTATCTCCCCTGGTGGCTCAGATGGTAAAGGTGTCTGCCTACAATGCGGGAGACCCGGTTTCGATCCCTGGGTCAGGAAAATTCCCTGGAGAAGGAAATGGCAACCCACTCCAGTACTCTTGCCTGGAAAATCCCATGGACAGAGGAACCTGGTGGGTTACAGTCCATGGGGTCGCAAAGAATCTGACACCACAGAGCAACTTCACAACTTCACTCCCACATCTTTATTAATCAAAATAGGAACCATTACAATCAACTCATTTTTGCCAACAGAAATAAGTTTGTTTATTCCTTTAACGTAAAAATCTGTGCTTTGGGATTCCACGGACTCTTGGAAAGCATTTTTTGCCTCCTGCTGGTTGTGGAAGCATTTTCCCTACAAAAAATTCAAGCTGCTTGAAGTAGTAGTTGGTTGGCGAGAGGTCAGGTGAATATGGCACATAAGGCAAAACTTTGTAGCCCAGTTCGTTCAACTTTTGAGGTGTTGGTTGTGCAGTATGCAATTGGGCATTGTCATGGAGCAGATTGGGCCTACTCTGTTGACCAATGCAGGCTGCAGGCATTGCATTTTTCGGTGCATCTCAGATGTAATCATTTCACCAGCAGACAGACCAGCAGACAGCCACCATGAACTTGTTTTGTTACAGGTTTTGCTTTGGGGAGTAATTTGGAGCTGCTTCTCAGTCCAACCACTGAGCTGATCATCTCTGGTTGTTGTATAAGACCCACTTTTTGTCACGTCACAGTCTGATCAAGAAATGGTTCGTTGTTGGGTAGAGTAAGAGAAGACAACACCTCAAAACAATGATTTTTTTGATTTGCGGTCAGCTCGTAAGGCACCTGCTTATCAAGCTTTTTCACCTTTTCAATTGCTTCAAATGATGAATGTCTGTAGAATGGTTGACGTTGTGTTCTTCAGCAACTTATCATGTAGTTGTAAGAGGATCAGCTTCTGTACTAACACTATATGTTGTAATCTGCTGCAAAAACAGAGGAGGAAGTGACTAAACTGTACGTTGTTTTTTTCCATTAAGTTTTAGATGTCATTCAGAAAAAGGAGTTGAAGGTTCATGGTTGGCTTAGTTGAATGGTTTTTGTCACCACAGGAAGGAAATAGTCTCAGTTCTCTCCTGTTCATTGTGTAGACTTTAAGTTTGTAGGACGAAGTGAGCCAGCCTTTACTGTAAGTCAGCCTTTGGGAAGAAGTCCTATAAATTCCTTGCATTTATAAGCATTAAAAAATACTGAGTAACATGATTTCTTTATGCTTCAGTATATATTCAGGAAAAGTGTTATGTACTCTTGGTATGGTGATGCTGCTACATAACATTTGTGAAACTGTTGTTCATTATTTACCAAGGAATGGTTATCTAAGGATGGGGAAAAGAAGATGGGAAGGACAGGGAAGAGATGATGTGTTGTCCTTTCACTGGTTCCCTTTCCTGACAAATAATGGCCTTCTTCCATGACCTAGCCTCACTTTCCTTTCGGTCTAGCTTCAAGTTCTGGCTCTCTTGTGTTTGTCTAATTATAGTTATTTTTAATTATGAAATAAATAGGTGAGTCCGCTCCCACAGGACAGTCAAACACTGTTCCCCTTGACTCTGGTCCTACTCCTCTCCTTTAAAAAAACTAAATTCATTGCTCTCCTTTTGGTGTGTATGGAAAGATGTGTTCATGCGTGTGTGTGTGTAACTAATTGTGGCATACAAAATGCACTGTCCTATTTGAAGTGTTCACTGGCAGTATGTGTTATGTATTAGAGGGCATTTGAAGTCATAACATGTTGATTGACTTTAATAAATTTCATGGATGTAACAGATTTAATTTAACCTTTCTGCTACTGTTGACTTTCTAGATTGTTACCATTTTTGATTTGTTACTTCAGACAGTGCTATAGACACCTCCCTTGTACATTCTGTGTGCCTTGTGAGAGTTTCTCTAGGTTATCAAAGAAATGGATTACCCATAGGAGTTGAGGAATGTAAATTTTGCAGATTCTGCTGACACATTGCATGAGAAAAACATGTTGTAGATTTGAATGGATAGTACAATATCATTTATGTTGGAAGAAAAGCCCAGAGATGTCGCAGGAACATATTCTGTTAACTAGACTGATAATGGTTGGAAACTTTGCAGAGAATATTAGACCTGAGAACAGTGATCAAAAGGGATTTTGACCTTTTCAGTGATGTTTAGGTTTTTATAACAGAAATGTATTTATGTATTACTTGAGTTGTTTTAGTTACTAATAAGAATATAGATAAGTTTGAACAATTTATATTATATCTTTATGTTACAAGCATAGAATAGCCCCTATTATCAGCCACATACTGATCATTTTAAAATTTTGTTCATAATGTGTAGAAAAATCAGTATATTTTTAAAAATAGATAAGGTGAGAGTGAGGGTCACATTCTTTGGCCCCTATTATCTCAGTCAAATATTTAATAATCTTGAGTTTTTCCAGATTTACTAGTAAAAGCTATATGTTACTATAGCTTTCTATTTACTGTGTTTGGATTTTAGTACAAGTGACTACAATTTTAAAAATTCTGCTATTGGCCCTAATACTCTTTAATGCAATTTTGCATTAAAGCATTTAAATATTACCAGTGTTGTGGTGAATATATTGAACTTCTTAAATTATGTAACCCCAAAGAATAAGTGTTTTTTAATAAGTAATTTTTTTTCCCTTACAGAGATGTGAAAGCTGGCAATATTCTTCTTGGAGAAGATGGCTCGGTACAGATTGCAGGTACTGATTAGTATTTCTTTTTATTTTATCTTTTTATTTTAGGTTAATGGCTGATAGAACAGCATTACTTATCTTCTATGTTTTCTTAGTCAGCTTTCTCTTCTGTACCCTGGACCATCTCTGGTCACACATAATATGTTGATACGTCCCTGCTGACTCAAGGTATCTTCCACTACTCATCCTTCATTTTCAGTCTTAGGCATTTTCTAACCACTACTTACTATGGTTATCTATTCCTAACTCCCGTTAGAGGCATCTTCTGAGGGTTCTTATACCATTCTTTAGCTTTCGTCTAAAGGAGAAGTAGTCAAGAAATTTCATTGTGTTTAATAAATGTGCTTTAGGGACGTTATACTTCTCTTCTGGGAGAAATGGGTTATTTGCCAGTTAGGAAGACACATCTGAGAGGTGGAAGTGTACTTTTGGTAGACTCAGAGTTGAAGAGATAAGAGTTAGAGTCCAAGGCCTTCCAGTGTTGGTATCTTGGTGAAATGCCCCCTCCCCCAGGGTGAGACTCCAGAATGGCTGAACTGCAGGACTGTTGAGCAAGCAGATCATCTGAGAAAATCTCAGCTTGGTCCCACACTGCTGGAACAGTCAGGTGTTTGGCAGGAGGAAGATAACTACCCAAACCTTGAATTATTTCTTCAGCTTTAGAAGAAAATTTAGGCACACATCTTCATGTCCTCAGGTAAGGGAATATTTTAACTAAGCCATATCATGTTCTAACATAAAGAAAAAGATTGATAAATTTAACTCCTGTAAAATTAGCAACTATTGTTCATCAAAAGAAGAAAAGTTTGTCACCATTAATAAGTAAAAAAGCAAAAACCACTGAGTAGATAAGACATTTGCACAATGAATAACTTGACAAGGAGCTCAAATTTAGAATATACAAAGAACTAATTAAGGAAAAGTCAGATAACCTCAAATAAGACATCAAAACATAGTAAAAGGTGGACAACCTCAACTAGTTAGCAATTAATACACAATAAAATAACATTGGGAAATCACATTATATTGACTGATGTAGCAAACATATCTGACAGTACTGGTTATCAGTGGGTGTAAGGCAAGAGAGAATCTCACCTTCTGATAGTGAGAATAAAAGCTAGTAGGAACATTTTAATAAGTTGAAGATGTTCATACCCAGAGACTTGAGCTTCTACATGTATGGTGTAGCGAAACTCATACTTCAGTGTGCTGTAGTGCTAATAAGCATTGAAAGTTTGGAACATTACCAAGCCTTTTGTTAGTAGGATGTATAAGTAAATTGTAGTTAATTTTTACTTTAGAATACTATATAATGGGCTTCTCTGGTGGCTCAGTAGCAAAGAATCTGCCTGCCAATGCAGGAAACACCAGAGACATGGGTTTAATCCGATCCCTGGGTTGGGAAGATTCCCTAGAGGAGGAAATGGCAACCCACTCCAATATTCTTGCCAGGAAAATCCCAGGGACAGAGGAGCCTGGAGGGCTACCGTCCATGAGCTCACGAAGAATCGGACACAACTGAGCACACACGCACTTGAGCTTGATACTACATAGTGATGGAAATGAATGAAACTCCAGCTGTACACAGAAGCATTAAATAAATTATAAAAACACAGGGTGAATGAAACTGGTCAAAATAGAATATATAGCTTGTGATTCCATTTATATAAGTTCAAAACCAGGCACAATTAATGCTGTATTGGGTAGAGAAGCACAATCAAATGGTAAGGAACAAAAAAGAGAATTCTAGGAAAATGGTAGAGTAGAAAGCACCAAGAATCTTCTCCCTCCCTAGACAACAGTTGAATTGGCAGAATCTGTCTAGTGTAACTATTTTGGAATTCTGCATTCTATTGATTGCTTGAAACTTTTAGAACAAGACTTGGAAGGTAAATTGCAGTTAATTTTTGTCGGTTTCAGAGCTGCTGATTTCTTACCCATCAGCCGCATGGCAGGCAGCTATGCATATGTTTTTAGAGCAACTTGCACACAACTTGCAGGAACTATGGTGGGTAGAAAGAACCCTGTCCTTTAAATATCCTAGCATCTGCTCTGATTACTAATTGCAGCTTCTGATCACAGAGATGCAGACAAAGAGACAGGCAGCCATTGTTGTTACAGCTCCTCCTTTCCAGGCACTTGAACAGGCCATTGCCTTTTTTTCCTTCCTTCATTTCTCTCCTCTTCCTCTTTTTGAAGCCAAGCCTTAAAGACTAGGACAATAGAAAATAACTACAGAACTTTCCTGTGGGTCCAGTTGTTAGGCTTCTGCACTTTCACTGCTAAGGCACTAGATTCCATCCCTCATCAGGGAATTAAGATCCCACAAGCCATGTGATGTGGCCACAAAACCAAAACAAAAACATTTGCAGGGAAGATTGAAAAGTGAATGTTTGTTCTCAGGAAAAGGTGCAGAAAAGATCTGAGAAGGCCTTAAGTTTACATTTCAGGCCAATGGTTGACATAGACACAGCCTACAGCAACCCCAAAAAACAAAACAATAACAAAAAACAGTAAATCCCAGGGAAGGGGAAGAATCTGGTTTCCAGAGTTAGCACATTATTAGATTCAAATGTCCATCTTCAATAACAACAAGAAAAAATCACAAGACAGTCAGTGAAACAGGAAAGTATGATCTATTGAAAGGAAACCATCACTGGAAAAGGCTTGATGGCAAATATATTAGACAAAGACTTTAAAACAACCATCTTTAAAATGTTGAGAGAGTTAAAGGATATGGAAAAAATTGAAACAACAATTGTTAATAAAATCTAAATATCAATAAGGAAAGAAGACTTAAAAAGAAACAAGAAAGAAATTCTGGAGCCAAAAAGTACAATAACTTGAATTGTGAAATGAAAAACTTATTAGAAGGATTTAAATGCAGATTTGATCTGGTTGAAGTAATAATTGATGATCTTGAATATGGAAATTATCGAGTCTAAGGAACAGACTTATGGGTTGCCATTTCCTTCTCCAAGGAACAGAAAGGAAAATGATTGAACAAAGTGAATAGAGCCTGATGGGTCTGTTTGGATATCATTGAGCAGACCAACATCCACATTATGTGAGGCCTCGATGGAGAAGAAAGGGGCAGAGAGAATAATTGGAGAAATAATGGCTGAAAACATCTCAAACTTAATGAAAAACATGAATATAAACGTCTGAGAAGCTCAGTGATCTCCTGCTAAAGTGAACTCTGAGAGACTCACAGAGACACATAATCAAACTTAAGAAAGACAAAGAAAAAGAATCGTAAAAACAGCAAGAGACAAGTGACTCATCACATACAAGGTGTCCTAAACAAGGTTGTCAGCAGACTTCTCATCAGAAACTTTGGAGGCTAGAAGGCAGAGGGACAGTGTATTCAAAGTTCTGGAAAAAAGTGTCAACCAAGGATGCTTTTAAAAGTGAGGGAAAAATTAAGACATTTCCAGATAAACAAAAGTTGAGGGTATATATTTCCACTAGACTTGCCCTGCAGGGAATACTCAAGGGAGTTGTGCAAGGTAAAATGAGAGGACCCTAGATAATAACTCCAAGCAGTGTGAAGAAATAAAGAACTCAATTAAGGTAAATATGTGGGTATGTTAAAAAAACTACTATTATTGTAACAGTGGTTTGTAACTGCACTTTTTGTTTTCTACATAATTTAAGAGACTAACACATTACAGAAAACAGTTATTGGTCTAAAACTTGATATTACAATAGCATTGGTTTGTAACACCACATCTTCTTTTCTACATAATTTAAGAGACTAATGCATTTTAAATGATTAGTTTATGTTTTTGAGCACACAATTTATGAGGATGTAATTCTATGATAACAGCAATCTGAAAAGATGAGAATAGTGCTGTAAAGAAAAAAGTTTTTGTATGTTATTGAAGTTAAGCTGGTGTAAATGCAAATTAGAGTGTTAAAACATTAGGGTGGTAAGTGTAACCCCCATGGTAACCATAAAGAAAATAGCTATAGAATATAAATTTTTTAAAATAAGGAAAAATTTTAAGCATTTTGCAACAAAAAGTTGAGCACAAAATAAGTAGTACAGGAAATGAGGAACAAGTTTTTTTGTTGTTTTGTTTTTAAGTTGCATGTAGCAACTTAACATGCATGCTAAGTTGCTTCTAGTCATGTCTCTTTGTTACCCTGTGTACCGTAGCCCACCAGGCTTCTCTGTCTGTGGGATTCTCCAGGCAAGAATACTGGAGTGGGGACTTCCCTGGTGGTCCAGGGGTTAAGAATCCACCTTCCAATGCAACAGATGTAGGTTCGATCCCTGGTCAGGGAACTAAGATCGCATATGCCTCCAGCCCATGTACAGCAACTAGAGGAGCCCAGGAGCAAGTAAGACCCAATACAGACAAATAAACAAATACATTAAATAGAAAAAAGAATACTGGAATGGGTTGCCCTGCCCTCCTCCAGGGGATCTTCCTGACTCAGAGATCAAACCCATGTCTCTTATGGCTCTTGCATTAGCAGGGAAGTTCTTTAACACCAGCGCCTCCTGGGAAGCCCCCAAAAAGCTTTAAATCATATGAAAAAAATAGCACAATGATAGAAGTAAGTCCCTCTTTATCAATAATCGCTTTAAATAGATTAACTGTCCAATTAAAAAAATGGTTTAAAACATGATCCAACTATATGCTGTCTATAAGCAACTCACTTTAGATCCAAAGATACAAATAGATTAGAAGCAAAAGGATGGGAAAATATATTCTATGCAAATACTGACCAGAGAGAACAGGGTGGCTACTCTAATATCAGACAAAATAGACTTTGTATTTAAAAGGTTGTAAGAGACAAAGAAATACATTATGTATTAATAAAAGTTTAAATAGATATAAGTAGATAAACAGTTACAAACATTCATGCACATATTAACATACCAGCAAAATATATGAAGCAAAAAGTAACAGAACTGAAGGGTACTATAGATAGCTCTGTAACACTAAAAGGAACTGTAGAGAGTTCTATAGTAATAGTTGGAGACTTTAGTACTCCAGTCTTAATAATGGGTAGAACAGACAGAATGTAAGGAAATAGAAGACTTAAACAACACATTGACTAACTAGATCTAACAGGCATATTCAAAGCACTCTACCCAATAAGAACAGCGTACACATTCTTTTGAAGTGTCCAAGGGGCATTTTCTAGGATAGACCATTTTTTAGGCCACAGATTAAGTGATAATCATATAAAGTATTTTCTCTTATCACAACGAGGTAAAGCTAGAAACCAACCACAGAAGACTTGGAAATTCACAAATTTGTGGAAACTAAACAAAAATAGATTGACAAATAGATTTTGACAACCAATGGATGAAGGAAGACATCACACAGGAAACTAGAAAATACTTAAGAGATGAATGAAAACAAAATCACAGCCATACCAGAACTCATGGGACACAGTGAAAGCATTGCTAAGGGCCAAATTTGTAGCTTTAGATGCTTTATTTACAAAAAAAGAAAGCTAGCAAATCAACAACCTAACTTCACAGCTTAAGGAACCAGAAAAAGAAGAAACTGAACCCTCAGCTAGCAGAAGGAAAGAAATAATAAAATTTGGAGTTGAGAAAAGGATATAGAGAAAGAAGAGCAATAGAAGAAATTGATGAAACCGAAAGTTGAAAAAACTGACATACCTTTAGCTAGGTAAACTAAGAAAAAAACAAAAGAAGACTCAAATTACTAAAATCAGAACCAAAAATGTGGATATTGCTACCAATTCTACCAAAATAAAAAGGATTATAAGATGTAATATGAACAATTCTACTCCAGCAAATTGAATAATCTAGATGGGCAAATTTTTTGAAATATTAAACCTAACAAGATGAAATCATGAATAAATAGAAAATCTTAAATGACCTATATATAGCTTGTAAGGAGATTGAATCAATAATCAAAAATTTTCTGACAGAGAAAAGCCCTGGACTCAGTGGTTTAACTGGTAAATTCTGTCAGACATTTAAAGAACTAATAACAGCCTTCCTCAAAGTTTTCCAAAAATTTGAAAAGGAAGAAACACTTTCTAACTCATTTTATTGAGTCCAAAATTACCCTATTCCCAAAGTCAGGCAGAGATACTAACCCAAGAAAAGAATACTATGGACCAGTATCTATTATAAACATTGATGTAAATATTTTCAGCAAAATACTAGTAGCAAATCAAATTCAGTAGCATGTTAAATGGATGATACACCATGACCAAGTAGGATTTCTTTGGAATGCAAGAGTGGTTCAACATGTGAAAATCAGTGTTACACATGAGATTACCAGAACAAAGAGAAAAAGAAAACCCACATGATCATCTCAGTGCAGAGCAAACATTTGAGAAAATTTAACACCCTTTCATGGGCTTCCCTCGTCATCAGTTGGTGAAGAATCTGCCTGCAGTGCAGGAGACCCAGGTTTGATTCCTGGGTTGGGAATATCCCCTGGAGAAGGAAATGGCAACCCGCTCCAGTATTCCTGCCTGAAGAATCCTATGGACAGAGAAGCCTGGCAGGCTACAGTCCATGGGGTTGCAAGAGTCAGGCAGGACTTAAACCACCACCACAACACTCTTTCATAATAGAAACATGCAACAAAGTAGGAACAGAAGTAAACTTCCTCAGCATAGTAAAAGCTACATATGAAAAACCTACCATGAATATCATACTCAGTGATGAAAGACTTGAAAGCTCTTCCTCTGAGTTCAGGAACAGGGGAAGAATGTGTTAGTACTGGAAGTTCTAAATTGAACAATTGAGCAAGAAAAATAATAAAAGACATTCAGACTGAAAAGAAAGAAGTAAACTTATCTCTGCAGATTCTATGATCTTACATGCAGAAAATCCTAAGCATAACATTACATAAAAAAAAAAAAAGCTACTTGAACTAATAAATGAGCTTTGCAAAGTAGGATAAAAAGTCAGCACTTAAAAATCAGTTCATTTTCTACCCTAACAATGAACAATCTGAGAAAAATATTACAAGCAATTCTGTATACAAGTAACATCAAAAATAATTAAAATACCTAGAAGTTAACATAACCAAGGAGGTGAAATACTTGTACAATGAAAACTATAAAACGTTGCTGAAAGAAATTAAAGAGGATGTAAATAAATAGAAACACATCCCCCCTGTTCATGGATTAGAAGACTTATCATTGTTTTAAAAAGTTAGTACTACCCAAAGTAATCTACAGATTCAGTGCAATAATGCCTGTCAAAACCTCAATTTTTTTTTTTTGGCAGAAATAGAAAAAAAATCCTAAAATGCATATGTAAGCTTGAACCTCAAGTAGCCAAAACAGGCTTTAAAAAATGAATAAAGTAGGAGGATTCACACTTCCTGATTTCAAAACTTATTGCAAAGCAATAGTAATAGAAACAGTATGTTGTTGGTATAAAAATTGGCATAAAGACCAGTGGAATAGAATAGAAAGCCCAAAAATAAACCCTCGTATAATATGATCAGATGATTTTTAACAGGGGTGTCAAGGCCATTCAGTGGGGAAAGGAGTCTTCTCAATAGATGGTTCTGGGAAAACTAAATATCCAAATGCAAAAGAGTGAATTTGGACCCTTATCTAACATAATATTCAAAAATTAACTGAAAATGGACTCTAATATAAAGACCTAAAACAATAAAACTCTAGAAGAAAACAGGGCACATGTTTCATGACATTGGATTTGGTAGTGATTTTTAGATATGACACCAAAGGCATAGGCAACAGAAAACAAAACAATAGATTGAATTTCATTAAAATTTTAAAAATTTGTGCACTTAAAGACATTATCCACAGATGAAAAAGGCAACCCACAGAATGGGAGAAAATATTTGCAAATCATGTATCTGACAAGAGACTTATAATATCCAGAATATACAGAGAACTCCTCGAATTCAAGAGCAACAACAAAATCAATTTTAAAATTGATTTGAATAGACATTTCTCCAAAGAAGATATGCAAATGTTCAGAAAGCACATGAAAAGATGCTCAGTATCACTAATCATCAGGGAAAAAATACAAATCAAAACTAGAAGGAGATAATAACATACCCATTAGGGTGGCTGTTATCAAAAAAATACAAAATAGCAAGGATGTGGAGAAATCAGAATCCTTGTTTGCTATTTGTAGGGACATAAAATGGTAGAGTTCTTGTGGAAAACAGTATGGCAATTCCTTAAATCAGTTAAAGATAAAAATTCTGTATGATTCAGCAATTCCACTTCTGAATATATAACCCCAAAGAACCTAAAGCAGGAATTGAAACAGCTATCTGTACACGCATTTTCATAGCAGCATTACTTACAATGGCTAAAATACGGAAGCAATTTAAGTGTCCATCAGTGGATGAATGTATACACAAAATGTGGTATGTACATACAATAAAATATTATTCAGCCTCCAAAGGAAGGAAATTCTGACACATGCTATAACATGAATGAACCTTGAAGATCTTGTGATAAGTGAAATAACTCCATTATAAAAAGATAATTATGTATGGTTCCACTAATATGAAATGCTTAGAGTAGTCAAAATTACAGAGACAGAAAGTAGAATGGTTGTTGCCAGGGTCTGAGGAAAAGGGACAATGAGAGTTATTGTTTAATGGATATAGAGTTTCAGTTTGGGAAGATGAAAAGAATGGATTGGAGCAAGGAGGAAAATCTGAGGAGATGATGTGTGGAGGTGGAGAGGAATAGAATGAGGAACCCATTAAGCTATGTGTTAATTTAGTCAAGAAGTTCAGCGGAAAAACGAGAAAAGGTCATACTATGTATGTAGGACCATAACTACATTATATTATTTTCCTATGTATTTATGTTAGTTACTGTACTTTTAATCCCTTGTGGTTATATTCTGTTTTAGACTTTGGAGTTAGTGCTTTTTTAGCAACTGGTGGTGACATTACTCGAAATAAAGTGAGAAAAACCTTTGTTGGAACCCCTTGCTGGATGGCGCCTGAAGTTATGGAACAGGTACTGGGTCTTTTGTCTTTTTACAGTGATTTAGGTTTTTTTACAAAATTAAAAAAACTGAGTAGTGTTTGCTTTCCAGTGGTCTGCTAGGTTACCTTTGGGAAACATGCCTCTGTTCCTTGTCTAAGACTTGGCATCATGCTTAAAAATAAACAAACCCCAAACTCTAGAACTTAGCAAAGGACATGTTAATCTCAAGATTTATACAAAGGCAACCTAAGGAATAGTATAATTAAGACTGATTTAATGGTAATATCCTTAGTACAAGTTAAATAACCTGATCTTTTTACACGTGGCTCTTGAAGGACTAGTTTTCCCTACATCCCTATTTCCTGGTTGTGTCGAACAGACTGCAGTTTATGTCACTCATCCCATCACCTTATGGAAGGAAACTCTGCTAATTCTAGAATCCAGTGCTCATATTTTGCTCCTTGTTTTATTCTCTTTGTGGCATTTGAAGCTGTCGACCTTTCCCCCTTTACTCACGTCTTTTTTTTTTTTTTAATTGGAGGCCAGTTGCTTTACAGTATTGTAGTGGTTTTTGCCATACATTGACATGAATCAGCCATGGGTGTACATGTGTTCCCCATCCTGAACCCCCCTCCCACCTCCCACCCCATCCCATCCCTCTGGGTCGTCCCAGTGCACCAGCACTGAGCACCCTGCCTCATGCATTGAACCTGGACTGGCGATCTGTTTCACGTATGGTAATATACATGTTACAATGCTATTCTCTCAAATCATCCCACCCTTGCCTTCTCCCACAGAGTCCAAAAGACTGTTCTTTATATCTGTGTCTCTTTTGCTGTCTCACATATAGGGTCATCGTTAGCATCTTTCTAAATTCCATATATATGCGTTAGTATACCATATTAGTGTTTTTCTTTCTGACTTACTTCCTCTGTATAATAGGCTCCGGTTTCATTCACCTCATTAGAACTGATTCAAATGTATTCTTTTTAATGGCTGAGTAATATTCCGTTATGTATATGTACCACAGCTTTCTTATCCATTTGTCTGCCAATGGACATCTAGGTTGCTTCCATGTCCTGGCTATTATAAACAGTGCTGTGATGAACATTGGGGCACGCATGTCTCTTTCAATTCTGGTTTCCTTGGTGTGTATGCCCAACATTGGGATTGCTGGGTCATATGGCAGTTCTATTTCCAGTTTTTTAAGGAATCGCCACTGTTTAAGCCACTGTTCTCCATAGTGGCTGTACTAGTTTGCATTCCCACCAACAGTGTAAGAGGGTTCCCTTTTCTCCACACCCTCTCTAGCATTTATTGTTTGTAGACTTTCTGATAGCAGCCATTCTGACTGGCATGCCCTTTATTTTTTTATTTTTTTTTCCATTTATTTTTATTAGTTGGAGGCTAATTACTTTACAGTATTGTAGTGGTTTTTGCCATACATTGAAATGAATTAGCCATGGATTTACATGTATTCCCCATCCCGGTCCCCCCTCCCACCTCCCTCTCCACCCGATCCCTCTGGGTCTTCCCAGTGCACCAGGCCCGAGCACTTGTCTCATGCATCCAACCTGGGCTGGTGATCTGTTTCACCCTAGATATACATGTTTCAATGCTGTTCTCTTGAAACATCCCACCCTCGCCTTCTCCCACAGAGTCCACAAGTCTGTTCTATACATCTGAGTCTCTTTTTCTTTTTTTGCATATAGGGTTATCGTTACCATCTTTCTAAATTCCATATATATGTGTTAGTATACTGTAATGGTCTTTATCTTTCTGGCTTACTTCGCTCTGTATAATGGGCTCCAGTTTCATCCATCTCATTAGAACTGATTCAAATGAATTCTTTTTAATGGCTGAGTAATATTCCATGGTGTATATGTACCACAGCTTCCTCATCCATTTGTCTGCTGATGGGCATCTAGGTTGCTTCCATGTCCTGCCTATTATAAACAGTGCTGCGATGAACATTGGGGTGCACGTGTCTCTTTCAGATCTGGTTTCCTCAGTGTGTATGCCTAGAAGTGGTATTGCTGGGTCATATGGCAGTTCTATTTCCAGCTTTTTAAGGAATCTCCACACTGTTTTCCATAGTGGCTGTACTAGTTTGCATTCCCACCAACAGTGTAAGAGGGTTCCCTTTTCTCCACACCCTCTCCAGCATTTATTGCTTGTAGACTTTTGGATAGCAGCCATCCTGACTGGCGTGTAATGGTACCTCATTGTGGTTTTGATTTGCATTTCTCTAATAATGAGTGATGTTGAGCATCTTTTCATGTGTTTTTTTGCCATCCGTATGTCTTCCTTGGAGAAATGTGTGTTTAGTTCTTTGGCCCATTTTTTGATTGGGTCATTTATTTTTCTGGAATTGAGCTGCAGGAGTTGCTTGTATATTTTTGAGATTAATCCTTTGTCTGTTGCTTCGTTTGCTATTATTTTCTCCCAATCTGAGGGCTGTCTTTTCACCTTGCTTATAGTTTCCTTTGTTGTGCAAAAGCTTTTAAGTTTCATTAGGTCCCATTTGTTTATTTTTGCTTTTGTTTCTAAAATTCTGGGATGTGGGTCATAGAGGATCCTGCTGTGATTTATGTTGGAGAGTGTTTTGCCTATGTTCTCCTCTAGGAGTTTTATAGTTTCTGGTCTTACATTTAGATCTTTAGTCCATTTTGAGTTTATTTTTGTGTATGGTGTTAGAAAGTGTTCTAGTTTCATTCTTTTACAGGTGGTTGACCAGTTTTCCCAGCACCACTTGTTAAAGAGGTTGTCTTTTTTCCATTGTATATCCTTGCCTCCTTTGTCGAAGATAAGGTGACCATAGGTTCGTGGATTTATCTCTGGGCTTTCTATTCTGTTCCATTGATCTATATTTCTGTCTTTGTGGCATGCCCTTTACTCACATCTTTAGCTTCCTCATTCTCCTACTTATTAGACCATTTCTCTGACTTCTCCCTGGCTTTCCTTTTACTGCTAAGCAACACTGCTTCCCAGCACCTCATCTCTGACTCTTCTCTGACTACACATACTTGCTGTTTCTATCTCTACTTCCCACCTGTTCATTGTTCATTATTTATGAATTATATCCAATCGAGTCTTGTTTTTTAAGCTATTGGGGAGGTATTCCAACTCCCTGTAGATGTTTTACATTAATGTCTTATGTCAAACTCTGTATGTAGAACTGAATCTACTTTTCACTCTGTTACAATGCCTGTATTGACCCTAGTGTGGGTCAGGACTTCCCACACTAGGGTTATGGAGATGACTGAATATGCAGGTACCTGACACTGGGCCTGATGAACTTGGCCACAATTTATTATTTGCTTGTACACGTATCTGGAGGCAGAGGACACTGCATGCCTTATGGGTTTGCAATTAGGAAGGGAATGAACAGAGGCAGGCTTTGTAGTGTCAAGAAAATGATGTGCCCTTTGGTTTCCTTGTGAAGGTGTGATTGGCTTGTTTTCTGAGGGCTGGCAGGGAGCAGAAACCTACTACTCAGGAATAAACAGGAACTGCACCTGATCGTTTGATAAGCAGGGCTTGGGGCCTAGGGCACATTTTCCTTGGGAGGACAGTGGGGTAAGAAACTTTCACTTAGGTCATTACAGGTCCTTCTATTTATCCCATGTTGAGACAGTATGTAATATGGAGCTTTAATTTTAGGTTTCAAACCACACACTCCCAAATCCTGTTTCTCCTCCTATATTGCTTAGGATAGAAAATTAAAATATTTAATTTTATAACATGCTGGTGACAGTATAAAGGAGAGAAATTTGGCAACATATTCACACTAGCAACTTTAAAAATATTCTTACCCTTGTAATTTTTTTCACCCCAAAAATTAAGGTGATAAAATAATATTGTAACATAGGAAATTTGGAAAACAAAAGACTGCCAAACTTTTATTTTTGTTTTAGGTCTTTCTAGTTTTTTCTTTAATAGATTGTATACCTGTTTGCAATAGTATCAAAACTTCTGAAGAATTTCATAATCTTCTTTCTTAAGTGCTTTCTCATATCATAAAGTGGTTTTCAATATTTTCATATAGGATTCATTAATATTGCTTTTAGTTGACTGTATAATGTTTCTCTAAGTGAATATACAATACTTAACCATTTCCTCGATGCTAGACATTCATTCAGTTTTTTCTTTTTTCCTCTTACCAAGTAAATTTATTTTTGCCTACTTTAGATTATATTTTATCAGCTTAAAGTCTGTGGTTCTTGATACACATTAGAAGCTATCTTGAAAGTGCTCCTGGGTGGTAAAAGTAATCTTGTACATCTCTCTGTTCTGTACAGGTTCGTGGTTATGATTTCAAAGCTGACATCTGGAGTTTTGGGATCACAGCCATTGAACTGGCCACAGGGGCAGCTCCTTATCATAAGTATCCGCCAATGAAGGTAAGGCTTATATCCACAATACTATCCCAGCTCATGTCTCAGTTCTCTTTCAGAGGGTTACCTCATTTGACATTCTTTTTTAAGAATTATGTAGATTTATTAGTATATGAACAAGTATTTTTATATTAAAAAGCACTATATGAATGTAAGAGTTTATAAAAATAGTAATTGTTCTCATTTACACTAACTCAGCCATTCATATTAGCATTTTGTCCTCCATTTGCATGTAAATAACACACATATCTGGAGCGCTTGTGTTTGTGGGATCATTTGACATTCTTATCCATCTTATTCTGCCCTGCATTCCTTCTAACTTCTTTAACAGTTAGAATATCTTTTAGATATTTGGTATGTTACACTGGGTAGCTTTACATTGTAGCTGACCTTCTTATTTGATGACTCACCATCTCCTGACTATGTAGCTAGTTTGATGTTCGGATCTAATCTGTCTCATTTTAGTGTGTGTTCCCCCACAGTCACCTGTGTAGAGCAGCCTCAGTGGGGATGATGATCATTTCTACCTCTTAAGGTTGTTGGAAGAGTTCCATGTTAACCGTAGTTATTGTTGACATTCATTGAGCACTCATCTGTGTCAGCCACTGTTTTTAAGTGCTTTTTATATGTTAGATTCATGCAGATTGTTCATGTTCCATACATATGTATTGTTTTCTTTGTTATTGAATAGAAGTTTGCTTTGTGGTAAGACTTTAAGCATCTTTTGTTTAAAGACCTGTTACATCCTGAAGAAGTGTGTGTGTGTGTGTGTGTGTGTGTGTGTGTGTGTGTGGGCTCAGTTGCTCAGTCTTGTCTGACTCTTTATGACCCTATGGACTGTAGGACACCAGGCTCCTCTGTGTGTAGGATTATCCAGGCAAGAATACTGGAGCGGGTTGCCATTTCCTACTCCAGGGGATCTTTCTGACCCAGGGATCAAACCTGTGTCTCTCGTGTCTCCTTCATTGGCAGGTTTTCTACCACTAACGCCACCTGGGAAGCCCCCATCCTGAGGGAATAGTTACCGGAAATGTAGTTATTAATCCTAATGTCCCCAACATTAGTAATAAATGAGTTTTTTGTGTTTCAAGAATGTCCTGCCAGTACTGTTGGCAACCATTTTCATCTGTGTGACCCCTAAGTGAGAATATGCACATGAATTCTATTTGTAGCTCTAGCCATTGTTTATAGTCTTGCTTGCCCGCTTTACAAAATGCCTTATGATTGTTTAAAATGGTGAGTACCATTGTGAATTTTTTGTCATAGTGATGTTCATGTATTTATGTTCTTGGAGCACTTTAGAACCTTTAAAATGTTACTCTGTCCCCTTTAAGGCACTAAGAACGTAGAGAAAGACAAAATCAGTAAGGATAATATGAAAAACCTCTCTGTATGTCCATATTCAAAACGTTTGTATATATTTTTTAACCTATATGTTTGATGGGTGAAAGGTTAGTGATACTTTAAGGCCTTGGTTTTTTCCTAAAGGTCAAGACTGCTAGGTGTAAATGAATATTCACAAGGTTTTGAAAAGGATTACTCTATTTGCTCAAAATGAGAAATACTTGCAACCTTAGTAATCCCCTTTTAGTAAATATAAATTAAATCTGAATGGCAAATAACAATTCTGACTATAGCCTTTTAATTTTGGTTTTGGCTTTGTGCTTAGAAAAATGGGTTATGCTTTTATTGAAAAGTCAAATAGTATAGAAAATCACCCCAAATTGCCTCATATTAATAGGACCTTTGTTACTTTGTCTCTATGCATCAAGATAGTGTGTTGCCATGTAAGTCAAAGAAAGAAGAGATTCAGGATGGACAGTTGCTGCAGGGAAGGTTGGAAGAATGCAAACTAAAAAGGTTATAGCTTTGTTAAGTAGTACATCATCAGTGATTGCTGTGATCTAAGTTTTTGAGGAGTTCTGGGAAGAGAAGTCCAGGTTACAAGGGGTCAAGTTGAAATAGAGCTATGAATAGGTAAAGTTAGCAAGGTCACACTCTTTAATTTTGCCATGGTTTTTTTTTTTTTTTTTAAGTTTGCTGGTGTAAGAATTGGACAGAAGACATGAAGGAAAGATTTCAACTAAAGTACATACAATACAGTGCTGATACAGTTTAGCCTTTGCAGGCACATTGCCTGGGAAGCCAACTGTCTATAGGATATTATTTATCTGGAAAACACCTAAATAGCTCTAGTTTCCAAACAACTGATCTAGATGTGAACTTTCAGATAATAAAATCTGCTCAGATGTTTGGAGGTTGTCTATACTGAAAAATTGTGGCCACAATATTTGATTACTGAATCTTCAGAAGTTTACATTATGTTGAAAATTCTCACAGGTTTTAATGCTGACACTGCAAAATGATCCTCCTTCTTTGGAAACTGGTGTTCAAGATAAAGAAATGCTGAAAAAATACGGAAAGTCATTTAGAAAAATGATTTCATTGTGCCTTCAAAAAGATCCAGAAAAAAGGTAAAATATGAGATAAAACTTATCCTCTTCATATAATATATAAACCATTGGGAATCACATGCATACATACATACGTGTGCAGAGAATTCAAAAGAACTAAACTTAAACATTAGAAAAAATATACACTGACCATTATACTAAATTGAAAATGAGTGAATTATATATTTTCTCCTTTCTTTTTAGTATACAGTGCACCCTAAATAGTTAAGCTATTTCTTGGTTAATTTCTTAGAGTTATAAATGTATTTGTTAATGAGCTGCAAAGTTAGTGGGAGGGCTTATTTTTAATTTGCATTTAACAGTTATAAGTAAACCAGTATCTTAATGCTCTTTACGATTTTATCAACAGGGGAAATAACAAATACTATATTTAATGTCAAATAGTCATACTTTCTTCCTTATTGGAAATGTATTTTAGTTAAGTAGAGCAAAAAATCAAATAGCTTATTGTTAACACTAGAAAGATTGAATGGCAGGTGAGTTAAAGAAACGTGATCATCTAATGTGTGTATCTGTGAATTAAACAGAAGTATAGAAGTTAAAGATTATTGCGTATAATCTTTTATCTTTAAGGTCAGTCAAAACTGCTGATTCCTAACCTTGGGCCCTGTTCTCTATCATATTTTTCTGTTTCACTTGGTATATAGACCACTCAGTTTCGTAGCACTAAAATATTTTTAATTTTGATTTTTCTAAAGCTCAACAAATCTAAAAGGTTTGAATTGACTTCCTTGATCATGTCTTTAGTATATTTAATGGGCTTTAAAATTTACTGTTGGAAATATTGGAAAGGGTAAGAAAAATAGGCAGCTAAGTTCAAACCTGTGGTTTTAGAACTTTTTTCCTCTTTCTTAATACAGTGGTATTAAAACATAGGGAACACTTACTTCTGCCAAATTAGTTGACTGAAATAACAGAATTCTGTTACAAACACCTAGAAATTCTGGATAAATCTATCAAACTTAAATAACAAGAATAGAGATGAGCTGTAATAAAGGGAGGTCTTCAGATGCCAGAATCAATAAGGAAGCCATAAATCCAAGAACTATTATAAACTAATCCTGTGGCTGCCTTCAGTATGACACTATTCATTCTAATAACCTACTGGTTTGGATTTTTAACTTCCAAGTGGGGACTAAAAATGAGATATAGAGCCCACCCATATGGGGATTTTGTACTAAGATTTCTGCTTAAAGCTAGAACATTCATAAGTCTGCATCCTGAGTGAAAGGATAGATCAGAGAACAACAACAACAAAAATCTGTTATAACAGAAACACAACAGAAATCTTTCCTGAATAATCACGCCCTCTGACATGGACACTCTGCAGGTTTACAGTCTGAATTTATACCCATATTATCCAGGGACCCACAGGATTAGAAAGTAAAACAGTTATTACTAAGCCAGTTTTGTTTCTGGCAGAAGCAATCAGAAACTTCACTGTTAGACTACTTCCGAAACCCAGGTCCCTGCAATTCTTGTACTGAAGAGATCACAATCCAGAATTACAGAACACACAGTGAAACACCACACTGTGGACCGGAAGCAACGTTCGAAGAAATAATGGCGAAGAATGTTCTGAATTGATGAAATACCTGTATTTTCAGGCTAAGGAATTATTGTCCTAGATTCCAAGCAGTATCCCTCTTTTTCCACTTGTATGCATTGTCATGAAACTAATGGGCACAAATACAAAGAGAAGGTCTTAAATACGGCCTGAGAGAACAGATTACCTAACTGAGGAATAGCAGGCAGATGGACAAACCACTTCCCCGATAGCAACAGTTAAGACCAGACACTTTGGTGGAACAATGCTGAGAGAAAATAACTGTTAACCCAGAATTCTCTAATTCTCTAAATCTAGTCAAACTATCATTCACCAGTAAGCGTGAAATAATTTTCAGTCAAAAATTGAGTTTTCCAGTCATGTTTTATCACTTAAAGAACTCCTCTGAAGTGTATTTTAGAAAGAAGGAAATGAGCCCATAAGAAGGGAACAAATAAGAAACAATGTTGTACGAACTGTTAAACATGCTGAAATTGTGACTGAATGAAAAAGTAGGAATGGTAATGTCTACTTTGAGTTTGCATAGCACTTCCACATTTATTCTCTCTTTTAATTTCTATGAGAATCCTCTGAGGCCCTGGTTCTCGAGCTTGAGTGCATTTTGGTGTCACCTCGAGAGCTTTAAAAACTGTACCCAAGTTTGCCCCCACAGATTTTGCTGTTTAACTGTTACAGGGAACAGTCTGGGATTTTTTATATTTATAAGGTAGTTTATTTCTCTCTTGTGTTCCCATCTGGTATGCCAACTGTATTCCAGGAGGGCAATACAAAACCTAGGCTACCTGCTGTCTTGTTCTTACATAGCTAGATTATGACCCTCATCTCTTTAGTCAAAAGGATTTTTTTTTAACTCTCACAGATATTATAATGCACAGCAGTGTTTAAGAATCACTGCTTTTAGGGATTTAGCCAGGTAATACTGAACCTTAAAGAAGTGACTTGTTCAGTGTTACATAGTAGGTATGTGGCGTCAGTTAGATCCAATTTCTTAAGTGTAGCGTTGTTTATTCTTTATTCTCATACTAGTTTGTGAAGTTGACAACAATGCCTTTACTCAAATGAAGTAAGACTGTGCACAGTTAAGTTCAAAACTAAGTTTAGATTAAATTTGGAAACTATATATTACTCTTAGAATCTTCAGTTTTTTATAGGAAATTGTGAAATTATTTTTTAAGAATATGTAATTACGTAAGTTGAGACTTACAGGTAATTATGTGGCAAGAAGCACAGTTCTTGATTTGTCAGTTTAAATATATACTTTTTGCTTCTTTAAAGTAGATAAAGCCAACTTCGTGGGAAATAATATTAAATAGCAAATATATTGAAAGCCATTAAGAAATCATGCTTCTAAAAGAAACATTTCACTAATGAATTTTTGCAAGAACCTACAATCATTGTTACCAGAAAATTTCTATTTGAGTTTTTAAATTCTATTCAATGCCTTGTACTGAGCTTTTCCTTTTTCGTTTTTAGCAGGTTAAAGACAGTGGAGTACTCTGAGTTTTTATCTTGATGCTCAAGAAATCATGTTTTCATTTTTGAAGATGAAAACCCACATTCCACTTCAATTAACTATAAAAACTTTCTTTTCTGGTTTTAGACCAACAGCAGCAGAACTGTTAAGGCACAAGTTTTTCCAAAAAGCCAAGGTAGGCTATTCTAACTTGGTTTCGTGGCCTCAGATGACCCCCTCAAACACCTACATGAGGCTCACTGCTCAGAGGTTGCATTTCCTTCAGGTGGCTGTTTGGGGAAGGACGATGGTAGGTCAGATAAGTCAGATAATTGCTGGGGCCGTTATTTAGACAGTCTTTCATATTTAAGTTAAATATGTTTTTCTATAAATTCATTTAAGTGTCAGGTACAACTTAAAACAGGAAAAATGAATATTACCACTATAAATAAAATCTGTGGAAAATCCTGTGAAATATACTGAACTATCATTTCAGGCTTTACTACTGAATTTGTAAACATGTCATTTCCCAAAGATTTGGGATAAATAAGATGTTATTGTAGTTGGGAAATGTGGGACCACAATCCCAAAGGACATATGTTAAAGCGAACTTTTCATAGATGGTGGTTCATACAATACATTAAAGCTTTCTCTCAATGTATAAAGTCATGGTAGTAGTATACTAAAGGATCTTCAGAATGAAAGAATAGAAGCTTTTCTCAAACTTTATAAAAACAGTTACTATATCACATTAATTGTGGTGAATATTTCTGTGTCAATTTTTTTGTTCATTAAAAACTTCTTATGAAAAGAAAACTTATTTTTCCTCTCCAGAATAAAGAATTTCTTCAAGAAAAAATATTGCAGAGAGCACCAACCATTTCTGAAAGAGCTAGAAAGGTAAATGTGGATTTAACTCAGTTTTTTTGAGAAATTAGAAGTTTTACTTTTGCATTTTGAAAGTGTATTTGACTAATACTATGTTAACAGTATGAATATTACTCATTTTCTTTCAGTCTTTTCTTTAGCATGCTTGATATATTCTTTTAGCAATAGTCTATGCCTCAGTAGTACTCCGCTTTCAACTGGAATGAAAAAGGATGGTACATAATCAATTAATTCGAAGTTGTGTTAAATCACTGTTTGCAACTACTGAAGTGAGTTGGGAAGTTGGGAAGTTTCTTTCCACCATACAGAAACAATGAAGACACCACTTCACACCCACCTGAATAACTATAACAAAACAGACAGACAATAACAAGTATTGATAAAGATGTGGAGAAATTGGAATCCTCACACATTACTGATGGAAATGGAAGATGGTATGGTCACTTTTGTGGCAGTTTCTCAAAAGACTGAACAGAGTTGCTGTATGACCCAGCAAGTCTAGTCCTAGCCATACCCAAGTGAATTGAAAACTTGTATACAGAAAAATATGTACATGAATGTTCATGGAAGTTTTATTCGTAGCTAAAATGTGAAAACAAACTGAATGTCCATCTACTAATAAATGGATATAGAAAATGTCATGAACCTATACAGTGGAATATTATTCAGCAGTAAGAAGGGGTGAAGTACTGATACATGGCATAGCATGGATGTACCTTTAAAACATTATGCTAACTGAAAGACATATTCTGTGATTCTGCTTATGTGAAATATCCAGAACAAGCAAACGTATAGAGACGGAAAGTAGATTATTGATTGCCTGGGACTTGAGCAGATTGTAAGGGAATGAGTAGGACTGCTAATGGGTATGGGATGTTTTGTGGGAAGTGGAGGGAGTGATGAAAGTGATTGAAATGTGATTGTAGAGATGGTTTTTCAACTCTGAACATACTAAAAATCATTGGATTGTAATACCTTAAATGGATCAATGTTTTATGAATTATGCCTTAGCTGTTAATTTAAGAAAAGAAGCATTTAAAGAATGGCACTACCACCAACAAAAAGCTCTTGAGAATTGAAAACATTATAGAAAAAATGGAAAAATTCATTACAAAGATTTTAGGGTAAAGTTGAGGAAATTTTCCGGAAAATAGAGCCAAAAAGCCAAGAGACAGAAAAGATGAGAACATTAGAGGATTATTTGAGAAGGGTCAACATTTAAGTAAAAGGAGTTCCAGAAAAGGAAAACTGAGAAAAACAGAAGAAAAGATATCATGAAAAATTATTCAAGAAAAATTTCATGTATTTCCAGTTTGAAAGAGCTCAGGTACCCAGCACAATGAATGGAAATAGACCAACGCTAAAGCACATTTCCATGGTAGCTCAGAATGCTGTTGCTGTTATTCAGTTGCCCAGTCATGTCCAGCTCTTTACGACCCCATGGACTGTAGCACGCCAGGCCTCCCTGTCCCTCACCATCTCCTGAAGTTTGCCCAAGTTCATGTTCATTGTATCAGCTCGGAATACTGGAGGTGAAAAGATCCTGTAGCCTTCCAGAGAATGGGGAAAGGTTACAGATAGAATCAACAGTCATAAGGACCTCAGTAGCATGTGTGGAAGCCACATCACAATGGAGCTTTACATTGAACATTAGGGAAAAAAAAATGTTTTCTAACCCAGAATTGTTTTCTTTTTCTACCAGGCAAACTATTAAGTGGAGTGTAGGAATGGAATCAAATTATGTTCAGAAATGCATGGCTTTAGTAAATATACCATGATAATAGTAGAGTAAGTGCTTAAAGTAAGAATAGGGAACTCATGTGATTGAGGAAGCATAGTCCTCTGGTTGATAGAGTGAGATCTGAGGTACCAAACCTGGTGTCATGTTGATGGAACAGATCGCAGGGCTCTGGTGAGAGGCTTCCTCTAGAAGATGACACTGATGAATACCTAATGTATATGAATATGACGAGAGGAGGTTTACATAACAGGGAGAGAATCTGGGGATAAATATGACAAGTAAGAAATAAGCAGGACTTCCCTAGTGGTCCAGTGGTTAGGAATCCACTACCAATGCAAGGGACAAGGGTTTGATCCCTGGTCCAGGAAGATTCCACATGCCATGGGGCAGCTAAGCTCGTGTGCTGCGGCTACTCAGCCCACACTTTGGGGCCCGTGCTCCGAATCAGAAGTCCACACACTGCAGCTCGAGAATATCCCCCTCCTCGCTGCAACTTGAGAAAGGCCACTTGCAGCAACGAAGACCCAGCACATCCAAAAGTAAATAACCTTTTTGTTAAAGAAAGAAAGCAAATATTAACTCCAGGGGAAATAAAAAAGTTCTGCAGGAAAGAAAAGAAATTGTAATATATATGGTTCAACTGTATAGTTTATATAATCATGTTATATAAACAATTGATTTACCCATTTATCAGGGAGCGGGGGCAGGGAAGGAGAGCATTTTCCTTTTGTCATTCACCGTCAGAAATAAACAGACACAAAACAGAAAATATTTACTGTCGGTAACGTTTACGGCCATGATAGAGCCCTCTTGCTAGTGAAACAAAAATAATGGCATTCTTAAAAAAGTGAGGGGGTGCTAAGATCATACATAAGATGATTGTTGATATATTTTCAAGAATCTGTAAGAAAATGTTTCATATAGGCCTATCATGAAGCATTTTATAATTTTCCTTTGCATAAATATATCAATTTATGATTCTCCATATATTTATATGAAGGGGCTCCTTGTTGGAAATATTGTTCTCATACGTATAGGAAAGCCTCCCTTGTGGGTTTTCCAGTTTACCATAATTATTATCCGGAAGACATATTGGAAGTTTTCTTGGGTGTACATGTAGAGTACACCACAGTGAGAAGTTCTTTAGAGAAAGACCTGTCATCAGCAATAACCCTCATTTTTGTAACTGTGAAAACTTTAACACGGGTGATATTCTTAAAGGTTTTCTAAAGTGAGAACCACCTCATAAAACTTTTTATGTGAAAGTTTAAAATTCTAAAGTTGTTAATTAAATGTCTAATATAGTCCAAACATGTTGACTTTAGAAAACAAACCGAATTTTGCAAAGGAAGGCAAACTTGAAAATAAGCCAGGATCTTCGTGTGGAATACAATTTGACCTAAGTAGTTGTTTGAAAACTGGCCTCAATCAGTCTAAAAGCATTGTTAGGCCTGTTATATAGAAGTACATATTGAATTTTACAAATTTTAATTTATTGTTTAAATTACTATGCATTATCCAGGTTATAAAGGTGATCTTATTTGTTTTATATAATTCTGTCATTTAGAGTAGTTTTCATTTTATTTAATTCTATTGAAATTATGCATGCATCTATTTCAGTGCCTTAAAGTATTTTGAAAGCAATCTTGATAATGGTTAAAGAACTGTTGTCTTAAAGATGAAACACTGTTCATTAAAAGGATCTGTGAAATAATTTATATTTGTTATAAATTAGTTACATATAGATGCATTTGTCATTTTTATTTGCAAAGACATTCAGTTTGAGAATCAACAAACATTTATTAGGTGCTTTCTATTTGCCAGGTACTTTAACCAATGTTACTTTGTCATTTTTATTTGCAAAGACATTCAGTTTGAGAATCAACAAACATTTATTAGGTGCTTTCTATTTGCCAGGTACTTTAACCAATGTTACTTTCATTTAATACTCAGAAGTGTTAAAATGTGATCTTTTTAAACTAAAAAAAAAAAACAAAAAACACAATTGATTACCCAAAATTACAATGTATCTTGAAAAAAGAGTAGGGAATTAATAATAGGGTTAAATTCACATCTTCTGTAGCAAGAAGTCAATAGATAATTTCTAAAACCAGAAAATCAAGGGGTAATAATAAGAACAGATTACTCAGAGAGATGAATATATATGCATTCTAAAAGAACAAGCTAAAATGAATTGAAAGTGGTTGCCTGTGGGGAAGAAGATGAAAGTTAGGGCACTGCTCTTTTTCTTAACATTTGCACAGCTGTAATACTCTTGAACTGGCAAGTATAATTGTGATTTTAAAAGTTAAAATCGAAAAAAAAAAAAAAAAACCCATAATCTTCTTTATCTTGAACATATTTATTTGGGGCTTAAACTGCCCTGATTTTTTTCTTGATGTCTGAAGATATGAAGCCATTACTCAGATTTCATCTGACTTCACATAAGAGGGATTTGGATGGTGTGCAGGCTCAGACTACCAAAATACAGGGAAAGTCGGTGGTTGTGAATAAAGACAAACAGTGCAGATGAGGACCAGAAAGCAAGTGAAGGGTGGTGGATGTGACTTTACATGGGAAAACTTATTTATGGGGAAAATTATTATCTGCTTACTGTGTTGAAGTAATAGAAGGAGAGAGAAATATGATTGACTTTTCTGTACCATAAGTGTCAAACACTAGCACAGTCCATGTCTTCCTAATGAGCAGGTTCGGAGAGTACCAGGTTCCAGTGGCCGTCTTCATAAGACAGAAGATGGTGGCTGGGAGTGGAGTGATGATGAGTTTGATGAAGAAAGTGAGGAAGGAAAAGCAGCAATTTCACAACTCAGGGTACGTTTTGTTAAACTATATGCTTTATAGAGTTCTGTTTTACTGTCTGAAGCCTCTGAGATAATACTATATTCTGTGGTTCTGTTCAGCTTAACCAGCTAAAATATTAAAAAATACAGACAAAAAAAAATACAGACAGAATATTTTGAACACCTTATTAACAACAGGAGCCCAAGTAAATCTCCATGGAGAGGGGGACTGCAATATCAGTTTTACTGTGATAATATTTAGGGTGTATAAAAATGACCTAAATTGAGAAAAGAGAACTGTAGTGTCTTGAGATGAAAGTACACTGGATTGGATTAATGGCTGATGAGACATTTCAAAAGAAAGGATTAGTGAACTTGAAAGCCTAACAGTTGAAACCTAGTCCCTAAAATTTGTTAACCTTCTATCTGAAGAGGAACAGTGTACCTTATTTTCATTTTGTATATCCTGGATAGTGTGAGTGTGTTAGTTTTTGCTGGAAATAAGACACCAAGACAGGAAATGAGCAAATAACGTTTGAAAAATGGCAGTGATAGACTTGCTCAATTCAGGATTGCCACAAATCTTTGATTTGTAAATAAACAAACTATGATATGTACAAAGTATAGTAAAGAAAGCATAGTGCAATAAAATGACATGGGCCTGTATTTTAAAGAATTTGTTCGAAAGTTTTCTTATTTGCATTGTTTCCAGTGTGAAATCTGCTTGTTTACTTACCTTATTCATTTACAAGTCACATTTCTTTTAACTTTGACTGATTTTAAGATTATTTTCCTTATGAATGGTTTTGAGCAATTTGATTATGATATACCTAGATTTTTTTTTTTTTCACATTTCATATTTAGGGTTTATTAAGCTTCTTGAATCTTTGGGTTTACACTGTTTTTTAAGTTTGGAAAGTTCTCAGCTATCATATTTTCAAATAGTTTTTTCTGTCCTTCCACCTTGGAGAGTCAGATAACATGTATATTAGGCTTAAAGTTGTCTGACTGCTCATTGATCTTTTCACTTTTTAAAAATTTTTTTTCCTCAGTTTCATTTTGCATAGTTTCTATTGCTAGCCTGTTCATCATTCTTTCCTTCTGCAGTGTTGATCTGCTACTAATGCCATGCAATCTCTTTTTCAACTCAGACATAATGCTAGAGTTGTGATTTGGTGTTTGGTTTGGTTGTTAGATACTTAAAGTTTGGTGTTTGCTTTTGCATCTTCCGTGTCTCTCCTTAACTTTTTGAAGTTATGTAATATAATTATTTTCATGTCCTTCTCTGCTGATTCTAACATCCAGGTCAGTTTGGGGGCAGTTTTATTTGATTGATTATTCTTTTCATTGTGGCTTGAAAAGTGTTTTCCCAAGTTGAGTAAATAAAAGTAAAAACTGAAATCATATAAAATTTGATAGATTGCCAGGAAGGAGAGAGTTATCCAGAGAAAAAAGCTTAGAGCTTCCCTTTTGAGTAGTTAGCAGAATAGTTATCAATTACCGTATGTGAAAAAACTACCCATGTGGAGAGCAGTGCCCAGCACTCACACAGCCAGAAACAGCAGCCAGACTGGAGAAATTTAAAATTCACAGGACATTCTGTAGAGTTCTCAGTAGTGGGGTGTAATATATTAACCTAGACTGAACACTGCTCCAGACCCAACTAAAACTCATCAAAGCAGGATCCAGAAGGATTAAACTGTTTCCAGTAGCTTAACTGTATTCCAGAACAAATCTTCAAGATTTATAGAAATACAAAATTAGCATCATGCAATTAGATGCATGTCCGGCATCTAATCGAAGATTACGAGTATGCAGAATGTCAGGAAAACAGTAAGAGTAAGCACACTTTTTGCGCAGCTCTTGGTTTCAAATGCCATGCCCTACTAAAAGAACAAAGGCTCACTGGAGAAATGGCTGATTCCAGGGCTTACACAGGGAAAATATAAGATAAATCTGGGATATCTTGTTTTGACAGAAAAGGTTTTTTATTTTTAATAATATAAGAGCCAGGTTGAAGGAGCTCCCACTAGCCAAATTAGGGAGAATTTAACCATCAAAATCATAAAGTGTAGAAATAATTATAACTCATTAAAAGAGTAGGAGTCAATAGGCCTATACAAGTAATACATAGATATATAAATAAATGGGGAGAAAAGGATGATTTTTCATTACAATAAACTGCCAGTGGTGGTAAATCTAGGAGTGCATGAGGAAATTCATCATTTTACAGCCATCATAAAGCAATCATAAAGATCATCAGTGGGTGCTAAATAAATGGGAAATCTATGATAAACAGGCTATTTATTTACATGGTCTTCTAGTATCTCTCCATAGATTGCCTATTAGTTGCAAGGGGAAAAATAGCTACTGCCCTACCTGAGAAATCAGAAGATGCCTTGACTCAATGATTAAAATTAACATCACTAATGAGGGTCACAGGATACATGAGATTCTCTAAAACACGATACCGTAAGAAGATAATCACTATGTAGAATTCATTTCAGTTTGAATCATGAAGAAACATCAGAGCACAAATTCAGTTCAGTTCAGTCGCTCAGTCATGTCCGACTCATAGAACAGTCTATTCAGAATATGTACTAGGCAGGGGAAGTGATTATGTGTCAGATAAAATCTAGAGAGACATGACTGACTGCAGTACATGATCCTAGACAGAATCTTATACTAGAAAAACAAAGGCCCTAAAGGATAGTATCAAGTCATTGGAAAAGCTGGATTATGGGTAGTTAATTAAAGTATTATTGTTAAATTTACTGAAATTGATAATTTTACTAGAGTGAAGTTGTGTAATAGAATATTCCTATTCTTCAGTACACAAGTATTCAGTTGTAAAGAGCCATGATTATATACAACTTATTCTCAAATGGTACAGGATTGATTAAATATATATAAAAAGAAAGTGAACACTAATAAAGCACATAAGGAGAAAGGTTAATATTGGATGAGTCTGGGTAAAAAGTATGGCAGTGTTCTTTGTATTATTCTTATTCTAACAATTTTTCTGTAAGTTTGAATTATCTCCAAACAAAGGTTTTTTTTTTAAGGTATTTTTTTGTTGGCATATACTTGCTGTGATACCTTAGGTATTGCATGAACCTTGATTCTCATTAATAAAATGGTAATGAAAAATTTAAAAACCTATAAATTGACCTTAATCCACATTCACACTTGGTAGAATTTAACATAAATTGAATTTGTTTAGAGATATGTTGTTGTTTTTTTAATTTTCCAGTGCTTGTATCCAGAATTACTGGTAACTTATGATTTACTAAATCAGTTTAACTTTAAATTTTCATATGGCCGATTATAATTGGAATTTCAGTTTTGGCTCAAGTTTTCTTTACTGAAGTCCATAATCAGAATTACTCTGCTTTAAGAATATATTGGATAATTAGCTTGAATGTTTACATTTAATGTGAGAAATTACGCATGTAATATGTTGATGACTAGTAGAAAGAATTGTACTTTGAAGAATGTGACCTCCTTACTACCTGATAGTCCCTTTATGTTTGCTTATAAACTTCAAGTTCTGAACTCTTAATATTGATACATTACAGGCTAGCTAGACAAAGAATTCAGTCATATCATTTTAGTTTTCTTTTTTCAGAAAACTCACTAGAGTTACCGATGATTTAATTATGGATCAGAATGAAATGGAGTTGACTTGCATTTCACCATTCCGTGCAGTTTTGGAACTGACTACAAGTAACCTGAGTTTTCAGTTAACAAGCCTCCTTTTTTTGTATTTCTTTTAGTCTCCCAGAGTGAAAGAATCATTAACAAATTCTGAGGTAAGTAGTTGTGATAGTTGAATCATTAAAGTATATGTGCTTTTGTTTTGGTTTTAATGTTAAGCACATTTTTTGTATGTGCTTAAATAGGAATGGGAATTTATACTAGTCAAATGGCGTGATAGGAAATCCTATTAAACAGACTCCTGTTAGGCTGACCTGCCTTATGCTTACTGCATCCTCAGTCAAGTGTGACTCTTTGCTACTCCAAGGACTGTGGCCTGCTAGGCTCAGGAGGAAACAGCAACCCACTCCAATATTCTCGCTTGGAAAATTCCATGGACAGAGGAGCCTGTTGTTGTTCAGTCCTAAGTCATGTCAGACTCTTTGCGACCCCATGGACTGCAGCACACCAGATTTCCCTGTCCTCCACCATCTCCACCTGTTTGTTCAGATTCATGTCCATTGAGTCAGTGATGCAATCTAACCATCTCATCCTCTGCTGGTCTCTTCTCATTTTGCCTTCAGTCTTTCCCAGCATCAGGGTCTTTTCCAATGAGTGGGCTCTTTGCATCAGTTCAGTTCAGTCGCTCAGTCCTGTCTGACTCTTGGTAACCCCATGAACCGAAGCACACCAGGCCTCCCTGTCCATCACCAACTCCTGGCCACCCAAACTCATGTCCACTGAGTTGGTGATGCCATCCAACATCTCATCCTCTGTCATCCCCTGTTCCTCCTGCCCTCAATCTTTCCCAGCATCAGGGTGTTTTCTAATGAGTCAGCTCTTCGCATCTGGTGGCGAAAGTATTGGAGTTTCACCTTCAACATCAGTCCTTCCAGTGAATACCCAGGACTGATCTCCTTTAGGATGGATTGGTTGGATCTCCTTGCAGTCCAAGGGACTCTCAAGAGTCTTCTCCAACACCACAGTTCAAAAGCATCAATTCTTCTGTGCTCAACTTTCTTCATAGTCCAACTCTCACATCTATACGTGACTACTGGAAAAACCATAGCCTTGACTAGACGAACTTTTGTTGACAAAATAATGTCTCTGCTTTTTAATATACTTTCTAGGTTGGTCATAACTTTCCTTCCAAGGAGTAAGCATCTTTTAATTTCATGGTTGCAGTCACCATCTGCAGTGATTTTGGAACCCAAAAAAATAAAATCAGCCACTGTTTCCCCATCTGTTTGCCATGAAGTGATGGGACCAGATGCCATGATCTTAGTTTTCTGAATGTTGAGCTTTAAGCCCACCTTTTCACTCCTTTTTCACTTTCATCAAGAGGTTCTTTAGTTCTTCACTTTCTGCCATAAAGGTGGTGTCATCTGCATATCTGAGGTTATTGATATTTCTCCCGGCAATCTTGACTCCAGCTTGTTCTTCATCCAGCTCAGCGTTTCTCATGATGTACTCTTTGCATCAGGTGGCCAAAGTATTGGAACTTCAGCTTCAGCAACAGTCCTTCCATATTAATAAAGTGTTAGTCACTCAGACGTGTCTGACTCTTTGAGACCCTATGGACTATAGCCTGCCAAGCAAGAATACTGGAGTGGGTTATCATTCTCTTTTCCAGGGGATCTTCCCGACCCAGGGATTGAACACAGGTCTCCTGCGTTGGAGGCAGATTCTTTACCATCTGAGCCACCAGGGAAGCCCATATTAATAATAATAGGCATTTTCAAAACTAATCTTAAAGTTCTGTTCTTCTATCAAAAATTAAAACCAGTAGGTAACTTGGTTTCCTCTCTGTGAAGCGCAGCAAACACAAAATTTTAATACATCCTTGTCTCCTTGATTTTGCTTATATGATAACAGCTATTAGATCTCTCATTGCCCTTTTAATTTTTTTTTTCTCTTTTAACTCTAAATTTTGGCCATTGCATTGATACTGTTTTCCCTACTAACTTATAATTTTGAATATGTTTAACTTGACTTTGTGTTCAACATTGATCTTTTTTCCCAAAGTTACATAACTAAAATTTGTGAAATTTTCAAACATGCAAAATAATGTTTAATGTTATAAAGCTTCACTATCATTTTGAAATGCATTTCAGATATGTTAAGGAACCACTGGTTGATCTTCTTTCTTTATAAGTAAAGGAGGGTCCCCAATATAGGAAAGTGTCGCTTCTAGAATTTCATAGTATATACTTAAGTCTATATATTGTAGGTGCTGCTTTGCTGGGCAAAGGAGATGGCATAGATATAGTTAAAAATAAATATGATACAAAGAATTACTGTTCTGAAGAAGGAAAAAAAAATGGACTACTGGTACTTGCTACAACATGACTGATTAAAAAAACTGTGCTAAGAAGCCAGACACAGAGTGCATATTGTAAGATTTGGTCTATATGATATGTCCACAAAAGACAAATTGATAGAGGCTGAAAGTAGATCAGTGGTTGCCTAAGGCTAAATGTGGGAGTAGGAGTTCACTATAAATGGACACAGAAGTTTTTGAGTTGATAGAAGTGCTGAAACCTGATTGTAGAGATACTTATACACGTATAAATTTTCTAAAAACCATTGAGTTGTATACTTAAATAGGTAGATTTAGTGGGACATAAACTTACACCTCAAAAGTTCTTAAAAACAGAAAAGCAGAGACGTATTTGACTTCCATTGAAAGTGTTGTACTGAGGTTGCAGAGATGGGCCAGTTCACTACACAAGAACTACTTGAAAAGGTCGCCCCTCCTAACACTGCTCGACTGTCAGCAGGCCTGCCTCCCTCTCCTCTCAGCTTATGCAGCACTGCTTGTGTTATTGTTACAGCTGTTTTCCACAACTGATCCTGTGGGTACTTTACTCCAAGTTCCAGAACAGATTTCTGCTCATCTACCTCAGCCAGCAGGGCCGACGGCTGCGCAGCCCACTCAAGTCTCCCTGCCACCCACTGCGGAGCCAGCGATAGCAGCTCAGGTACAGCAGGGACTGTTTTCTTCTGTGGTCAGCCTTCTGGGTGGAGAAGAAGGCGGAGGCTAGCGTGGAACACCACCTTGTGCGCTAAAGATGATGTCCTGGTAGATTTTCAAACAAGTTAGAAACTCTGTTCTCACAGTTTTACATGTATGCAGATAAGAGAGTTTAACAAAGATCGCACGGGTGGTTTTTTTTTTTTTTTTTTTTTTTGAGCACCAAAGTAAGTTAATGATGGAAATATCCCAAACAGCAAAAGTTTGGGGCATTGAAATTTCTTGTCAGCCTCCATCCTCTCTTCTGATCTCAGTGCCTGCCCCCACCCCCAAAGGGAGCTGCTCACGGGGTATGCCACTTAGGCACCCGAGGGACCACCTCGAGAGCTCCGGGAGTGCTGCAGGAGGCTGGGCGAGACACGCGTACTCGCTGTCACAGTGAGACCCTCTTGTAACAGTGCCTGCTGCTTGGACAGTGGGCCGAACGAGAAGGGCTTCCCTGTCTTGTCAGCTTTTTATTGTATCCTGATTGTGCTTGAGTTCAGAATGCAGCTGCCACTAGGGAGCAGCGAGCTCTTCTGCCATCTTTGTTAATACTACCTCCAAACCGTGGTTTTCCTGCGCTGCTCTTTTTAAGATACCTGTCAGTTTTGTGGGGGTTGATTTTATTAACGTGTCATAAAGTGATCTGTGAATCCACCCAGTCAGGCACAGGTGCCCTTTATTAAATCAGAAGGCACTGAGAGTGCCGAGGGCATGAGGGCCCCCCGAGGGCTGCCCCCGCCCCTGCTGGGAGCCACCACTCTTCCCTTGGGAAGCCGCAGGACTGTCTGCAACATGTGACTGGGCTCCGTGGTGAGAGTAAGTTCAGAGTCTACGCGTTTATTAAATAGGAGCGGTGCTTTTATTTTGTTTTTTCCTAAAATTCAGGTAGGAAGAAATAAAAATAGAAGTTCAGATGTTTTCAGCTGCATCCCAGCAGTGCTCTGCCTTTGGAGACCACTGTCTGAGTGTTTCCAGTTAGTCAGAGTCCTGACTGCATTTAACCTTTTCTTTGCCTGAGCTTTTCATTTCTGCCCATCATATGGGAAAGGAGACAGTCATCTTATGAAAACTGATGAAAAGATTGGATTCATTTTATAAACAGCCTATATAGAATGTATATCCTCCAGTAAGCAAGGGACAGCTCTATGGTTTTCAGAGGATTAAAGATCTGGAACCTCCAGGTTGGGTGGTTTCCTGAGCAGCAGCCAGTTCAGACCTTACTACAGATGTATGGCCACTGGCAGGTTTTTTTAAGGGAAAAACCCAATATCTTGTTCTTCACTCTTGTAGAGGGGAACAGAGTTCTGGAAAATGCAAAATTGAGATGTGACTGTGTATGGCATTTCATGTAGGTTTGACAGTGATCTTTCCAACTGTGTTTGACTCAGACTGACATTCAGCTATTACTGCTGCCTTAGGGTGCATGTCCTCCCACAGCAGGGAGTCCTGGGGACTAGGATGCCCACACCTGGAGATGAAGAATATTGCTGCCAAGTGGATGATTCATCTCTAGATGAGCATCAGTCACCACCACACTTAATACTCCAGGCAATGACTTTATACTTTTCAATGCTTTTTAGGCTCTGTCTTCAGGAGCAGGTTCACAAGAAACCAAGGTCCCAATCAGTCTAGTACTAAGATTACGGTAAGTAAGACATTTTGTTGTTGTTCTTTTCTGAATACTCTGAATGTGCTGATTTCTCTTTGGAAGTTACTCTTCCTTTTCGTAGTGCATGCCTGAGAGTAACTGGATAGAACTGTATGTGTTTGCTCTCAGGTATATTATTTCCCTCAGATATAATAGCAGTAGTGTGAGAACCTGAATTACCATTGACCCATTCCTCTTTCCACATGTGAATTCCTAGTCATCTCAGTATGACCATAATTAGAGAGGAGGCAGCAGGACCTATTTGATGAATGTTCTGGGTTTTTTTTTAACTAATTGTTTATTTTTTGGAGAGGTGGTTAAAATTCAGGTTTTTATTTATTGTTTTTGAACTTTTAATTTTGTATTGGGGTATATAGCCAATTAACAATGTTGTGATAATTTCAGATGAATAGCAAAGGGATTCCACCATTTGTATACATGTAAGCGCTCTTCCCCCAAACCACCCTCTCCCATCCAGGCTGCTACGTAACATTGAGCAGAGTTCGATGTGCTATGCAATAAGTCCTTGTTGATTATCCACTTTAAATATAGCAGTGTGTCCATGTCAGTCCCAAACTCTGTAATTGTCCCTTTGGAAAATATTTTGATTTTACCACTAAGAGCAATGAATTATGCCATGAATGTGAAGAAAGCAGACTTGGCTACCTTTTCTTTGTAGAAGCCTATTCTGTATACCTGAACCATATCGTTCTGAATCATACAGTGTCTTGGTAATTTCATCCTATTTTAATTGTCTACAAAGAATGCTACTTGTCTGTTTTAAAAATTTTGTTTTAAAATCTTAGATCAGTTAATATAGAGTATGAAATGTTACTTAACATACGCTTCAGAAGGGGAGAGAATGCTTGTAAGTGATGCAGTTAGCTTTTTGAAGGGTGGTTTTTAATGGACTGTGTTCCAGACTTGTTTATGGAAGAGGAGGCTAGAGTCTTAGTCTCATTGATGAAGACTTTGAAGTTCAGTTTAGCATATTGTTATCTTTGAAGGTGTTTGTACTTGGCATGACAGTCACATCACAAAAGTGATACTGAACACTTGACCTTAATTTTATTCAGCTTTCAGAAAGAATAGATTGAACAATTACATATTAAGCAGACTAAGTACAGCACTATTCGCTGTTGTGCTAAGACACTGAGAAAGGAAAAAATGAAATGCAATAGTCAAGTCTGTGTTGGAAGTTGATTTTTATTATGTACTTAGCATAGCTAAAAGCAAGTTTTAGTAGTAGATATGCAGCGAAGTATAAGTCCATGTAGACAAGTGCAAAGAGGCAATGTGAGGGAGAAAATCCCTGTTGGGCAGGTTGTGTTGGATTTGGGGAGCTGTATTTTAAGCACAATTTCAGTAACATCAAGCATGTGTCAGATAGACCTAAGCCCTCTACATTATTTAGATAAAATGGATTTGGGTCCTAAGTAATCAGGCACATCTGCCTTTATGGATGGTATTGTAATTTCTCCATCTTTAACCAGAACCTCCAGGGAGCTTGGTTAATCTCAGTACTTGGTGGGGTGAGCAATCACTGTTACTATCCCTCATCAGTCACATTTTAATCTCTGAAGCCTTTTATTAACTCTCCGGCCAGTATGGACCCCATTCCCGTCCCTATCTTCTCTCCCTTCCCAAAGCCTTCCTGTCCATTACATCCTATCTAACAAAACTACTAGTATTTCTAAAGTTTCTCCTCATTATCCCAATCTGTATATTCTTTATCCTTCTCCTCTGAACCCCTGTGGAATTGAGGACGCATCATGTATTTCATTCTATGAGTCTGCTCAGACTGATCCCCAGTGGTGGGCAAGGTACTGTCCTCGGCGAAGGGGTGTGAGGGGGGTAGGAGTGGAGATAAGGAAGAAAAGAGCCACCTCTGTCATTTTAGTCACACCTCCCAGTGCTCTTTCATATATTCCTCTTAGTTTAATATGGTTGTCTTGTTGGGTGTAAGGATGAGAATGGGCATATAGTGACCAGTGAAGGACATAGATTAAAAGAGTTGTAGGACAGTTATTAATGAATGATCACTCTGAGTTGTTTGCTCTGAGCCCTCTGTGTGAGCTCATTAGGACAGATCATCTGGTCTTTCGGACAGAAAGATCTTTCTCTTGGCATAGCTTTCCTAATATATGTAGTCAGACTCTGAATGTATAAATTCAGAAATTTATTTTACACATTTTGTTTTCTTTCATAGGAATTCAAAAAAAGAACTAAATGATATTCGATTTGAGTTTACTCCTGGGAGAGGTGAGGCATCAAAATCAAAACATTGAAAACAAAATAACTGCTCATTTGTCATTTGAAGAAAATGTGTGTGTGAAGTTTCTGTCCTTTAGGTGTATTTTCCTCTTAAAGGGTGATAAAAAATGTTCCTGGCCTAAAGGTTGAGGGTACGTGTGAATAAAGTAAAAACGCAGTTTTTGTTGGTTGTTTTTTTTTTTAACAACTACCTCATTTAGAAAATATAGTATAATACAAGCAGTAGTAAATATAGCTCCAGTTTACTATGGCAGATGTTGTGCTAAGCAGCATTTCATTAAATTTTCAAAATGGCCCCTAAGGAAAGATTATTGTCCCCATTGCATAGATGATGAAATCAAGGTTTAGAGAGAGTGAAGTAACTGGTTACAGTTCCCACAGCTGCGAAGAGGTGTAGCTGGATCTGCCGGTGTGCTGAATTCTGGCTCTTATTACTGAGCATGTTTGTACTCCTTGACAGTAAGGAAACAGCAAGGCTTCCAGTCCCCTGCCTCCCAGCTGAAGCCGAGCCCTGTCGCGCATAGTTTCTGTCCGTGAACTCTTCTCCCAGGGACAAGGTTTATTATTTTCTTTCTTGCCTTTGTTACTCAGAATCCGTATTTGTGAAATGGCTCACAGCTATTGGGCATCTGTCCTGTGTGCCATGCGTAGTCTTCCCGCTGCCTCGGTCTCATGAGCAGCTCACTGAAGTGCTAAGAGCACGAGAACAAATGCACATGTACAGAGATGTATCTGATTTCTGCCTTAAAGCCAGGCAGAGTCGCTCTTTAAGGTACTCGCTCACATCACTGGTCATTGGTACATGTGCACAGCCCCTCCCCAGAGGTCCTCTCATTCCCTCTGAGGGCCTTAGTGTTCAGGCCTTGGGAAGGAGTCAGTTAGAGATGAGGTTAATTGATGGTACTCTCACCTCATCTTTTTAGTTTTTTAGTTGTATGCCCATAGACTATATGTACTCAGATAGTACAACCTCGGATGACTGGATGTGAAGGAAAGCCTACCAGAATACAGAAGAAAATGATTTTAGGGGGAAAAAAAAAAGAAGAAGGACAAAAAAAAAAAAAACCAGGAGTGTGATCCCCAAAGAAAAGTGATTAAAATTTGTTTTCTTAAGGTTTAATTGAGGGGAATACCCTGGTGATCCAATGGTTCAGATTCAACACTTTTACTCTCAAGGGCACGCATTCAGTCCTTGGTCAGGGAAATAAGATCCCACAAACCTTGCAGTGTGACCAAAAAAAAAAGGATTCAATTGGGACTGAATCATTCTGTGTTATTATCCCAGGAGATGTTACACACACATCGTCACATCCCCAAGCTCACAGGGCTGGGTCCAGGGTTGCCCTCAGACTAGTAGTTTCTTCTGCAGCATCACTGTCAGGCACTCTTCTGACAAAGGCAAGACCCCATCTAAGCTGTGCCGTCATTTAGAATGTTATCTTTACACTGAGCTCATACTTGCCTTATGGTTGATTGATCCAGGTTCTGTCCTCTAGCTCGACCTCTGATAGTCCCTCACTTGAGGTAATCCTGGTGGTAGGAAAAACCTCTGTGTGGAAGAAGGCCTCCTCCCCACCACCACCTTGGGTCTGTGGATTTAGCAGCTAGCTTTAGTCTGGCCGTTCCAGCACCTGCTTTGGAAGTTAGCAGGGACTTGCATGCACAAGAAAATGGATCACTTTCTTCTTTGTCTTTGCAGACACAGCGGAGGGTGTCTCTCAGGAACTCATTTCTGCCGGCCTCGTCGATGGAAGGGATTTAGTCATAGGTAACTACTTTGTGCTCTGCCCTTGTGCCCTTGTCTCTTTGCCTATATCCTTAGGATCTAGAAAAGCAGGCCTTGATTCTACTGAGTAGGTCGAATGGTTCTAGGAATGGTTCTTGACTTTGTTGAAATAGGTGTTGGGGATAGCTCCTTTCTTAACAAAAAAGAAAAATCTCACTTTTGAATTTGCTTTGTTACCCCCAGTGATAGTGAGTGAAAGCTCACCCAGGTCTCTGGGAGATTGTAGAAATAATGACAGAAGTCACAAGTTAGAGTAAGCTTGGCCATATCTAATCCATTTTGGAGGATGAGCTCTCCTTGGGCAGCCAAGAGGTAAGAAAAAAATCATTACAGATATAGTCCTTAAAAAAAAGCAGGAAGTAAGAACAGGCCCAGGCAGGCCACAGGTACATGTTCTTCAAGGAAAAGACCATGGTGTAGGACAAGTCAGTAGACTTTTTAAAAGGGCCAGATAGTAAATAGTTTAGGCTTTGTGAACCATGAATAGTCTCTGTCATTTTTTAAATTTTTATTTATTTATTTATTTTTATTTATTTTAGTTGGAGGCTGATTACTTTACAGTATTGTAGTGGTTTTTGCCATACATTGACATGAATCAGCCATGGGTGTACATGTGTTCCCCATCCTGAACCCCCTCCCACCTCCCTCTCCATCCCATCCCTCTAGGTCATCCCAGTGCACCAGCCCTGAGCACCCTGTCTCGTGCATCGAACCTGGACTGGCGTTCTGTTTCACATATGATAATATACATGTTTCAGTGCTACGCTCTCAAATCATCCCACCCTCGCTTTCTCCCACAGAGTCCAAAAGTCTGTTCTTTACATCTCTTTTGCTGTCTCACATATAGGGTCATCGTTACCATCTTTCTAAATTCCGTATATATGTGTTAATATACTGTATTGGTGTTTTTCTTTCTGACTTATTTCACTTTATATAATAGGCTCCAATTTCATCCACCTCATTAGAACTGATTCAAATGCATTCTTTTTAATAGCTGAGTAATATTCCTTTGTATATATGTACCACAGCTTTCTTATCCATTCATCTGCCAGTGGACATCTAGGTTGCGTCCATGTCCTGACTATTATAAACAGTGCTGCGATGAACATTGGGGTATACGTGTCTCTGTCATTTTTTACACGTAATTGGCTGATTCCCATTCTAGGGCCTTCTGGCCCATGAATAGGCAAGTCCTACCTCTTTAACTGGAGTGTCGTTCCTTAGTTAATACGGCATCTTAAAGAAAGTTAATGACAATGGTAAGATTTATTTGTGCTACTTGGACTTGTATTTTAAAACACCTCTTGTTTAGGGAGCATTTTGCTCCCTAAATGCAAGCATTCTGCTTGCATTTTGATTTTATGTAGGAGATTCTAAACTACCATTTAAGTTGTTAACATATAGTTGAAATGTGGATTTACGTAACTTGTCATTACTTTCTCTGTTTTTTATTATAGTGGCAGCTAATTTGCAGAAGATTGTGGAAGAACCCCAGTCAAATCGATCTGTCACCTTCAAACTGGTATTCATCCCTTCCTTCTTGTTAAACTGTCTCACTTTTCCACACCAGCAGCCTCTGCAGACCAGCTTCCATATTCCCTGAGTGATAAGAATAATCAAGTCTGGTGATTGTTTGTTTAGCCTCCCCATGCCCTGGGCTGATGTCTCTCTTCATTGGCCTCCCTTCCCCTCTCCCTCCCAGGAAGCCTCCTACCCGAGGCTCTCAACTGTTTATTCTCAAAAGAGATTGTCAATCTGACTCCGCCTTTGTACCTAGACTCCACCTACACCTTTATTTGCCTCCTGTTTGTATCCCAGAGACTTTTCCCCAACTGCCCTCTCTCTCACAATCCCCATGTCAGTTTTAATTATTACCTGCAGTTTTGTTTGTGAATAACCACAGCTTCTCATTTTGTTTGGTTCTTAGGCATCTGGTGTTGAAGGCTCAGATATTCCTGATGATGGTAAACTAATAGGATTTGCCCAGCTCAGCATCAGCTAAAACACAGCCCTGGGAAGAGGCAGCTGAAGGAGATTCCACACATGCGTGTCTCTGTTGCTTCTGTTGGCCTAAACCCACTACTGCCAAAGAACCCAGCAACAAACCTCCCAGCTAGGAGCTTTAGAGGTCTTTCTTTTATGTTTTTCCTGCCATCATCCCTGCTTTTTCCCACAGGGAAAGAAAAGTTGGATCACCAGTGGCCAGCATCCCTTTTAAAGAGTTCCGTTAGTAAACTTACTGCACGCATCCCCTGTCTTCCTCCATCTGAGAAGTGGCCCGGGTGCCTCAAGGCCCAGGAGGGAGGTCTATCAGCTCATCTTGCCTTACTCCAGTGATGGCGCTGGGTGGAAAGTAGCAGCTCTATTGGGCTTCCTCATCCTGCTGCTTCTCCCACACCAGACGGGATATGGGCATCTTGGGATATCTCTTTACCACTGAAGTAGCAATTAAAAGTTGATTGTTCAGCTGGAGCCCAGAGAATTTAGTTTAGTGATTTTTTTTTTTTTTTTTTTTGTATCTGATATGAATTCTAGCAACCTTCGTTAGGAAAAAGCACAGCCTCAGAAGGAGGCAACCTAAACTGTGTTCTTGTTTTGTTGATGATGTTTCTAAGCGTTTTGCTGAAGCTGCTCTCAGGCACCCCTCTTCATTACTTGCTCCAGAAAGGGTTGCTCGCCTTAACTTCAGCTGGTGCAAAACATCTGACTGTAATCGAACTTCAGCCATCGGACCCTTCAAAGCGGAACTTTGGACTGTTTTTAGGGAAAAAAAATCACATAACGGCTTATAAACGAGAGTTACCCCAGCAGTGGTGTTTTGAACAGGAAAAAATCATAACTCATATCAGTGTGGAAGTATTTATTTCAGATCTTAAACAACTGAAGAAAACTGCTCCTTGATCCTCCCGTGAAAATCAGTTTGCCTGGCCCCCGAGTCATGAGGAAATGCAAGGCTGAGATCTCTACAGCAATAAAGGAGAGTCGCCCTAGGCCCCAGAGGCCTGCCTTCTGCCCCCTCTCCTGCACTGGCCCTTAGGAGGGGGTCCACACTTCCGTGTGCTGAACCTGACCCAAGATGGAACGTGAAACCACATGTGCCGTGACTTTTAGGATTTATGAGTGGACAGTGTTTGTTTGATTTTCTACAGAAATAATATAAATTATTCTTTAGGTTTAAAAAAGAGCACTCATAATGCAATATGTGAATCACCAGTGGGGTTGATTTTTTTTTTTTCCTACTGTTTCACAGTCAGCCTTTATCTAACTGCAGATTAGCCCTAACAAGTTTTACAAATGAAAGAGATCCTCAATCTGGCCTTAAAACAACACAAAAAGATGGGCTTTGGCCCCAGTGAAAGGGGAGAGCTGCCTCTTACAGAATCAGTTGATTCCTTTCCATCTTTGTTGGTCTGTGAATAACAAGATTGCTTTACCTAGTTTTTTCTTGGAGCACCTCTGAAAGCTTTCCCCACAACTGACTTGTTACAGTTTTAATTTCATTCTGAGCTCATAGTTTTAATCTTGGGCTTTCTTCACCGGCCCTGGATACAAAGGCATGTTGGGAAAGGGTGGGTGTTGGAGAGGAAGGGAGGGAATGGTTTGGGATGAGAGGGTTGGGAGGAAAATAGATCAGAGGATCAGATGCCAGAGTTCTGGCAGGATTGGTAAAAGGAGTGAGCCTGTTGAGCCTGGAGACAGGAGATTGATCAGCTTGATGGACAGATATTTAGCTTTTCTTTTTTCTTTTCTTAGAAGAGAGTTGAGGGGGAAAGGACAGGAAGGTAGGAATAAGTTTATGGAAAAGATGTAGTGTCCCCTTTGCACAAGACTAGGGGCTTAACCTTAGAGTCTGCATTTTCGTTTCAAGTAAGCCCTTCATAGTCTGCTTATTTCTGAATCCAGAGGGTAGTGGCATCACTCTGTTCTAGCTTTTTTTGGAGGTGATCAAAAGCCCAGGCTAGAAGTAAGCAGCAGCCCATCTCCTTGTTGAGTTTCTCCTGCTGGCCATTAACCTGTGAGCTGCAGTGGGACAGGCATGACCTTTGAACTGAAGTGGGCTGGGGCTTTCTCTTTCTTTTCCATTCATCTTTTGCCCTGCTGGGAATTAGGAGCCAGACACCAAGCCCCAGGACAGTGTTACTTCTTCTTCTGCATGATGTATGGTGGACTCCCTTTGCTGGTATGTGCAGTGATGCTGAAAAAAAATGAGTGAACAGAAACTTTGCAGGTGAGACAGCACGTGACCTAGTGAGCAATCTCGCTCCTTCCTGGGAGTGGTGGTCCAGGATACACCTCTCTCCCTAGACCCCTAGGATCTCCTGGGTCCTGGGGTAGGGACTAACTTAGCACAAGGTAACATGTGCCAATGCTATTTGTAAAATGTATGGTCTTTCTAAATGATTCATGGATTTGTTTGGGATTTTTTGCTTAAGTTGTGAACCAAATCCTAGAGCCAGCTGACACTCTTAATAGAGGACAGAATAATGGTATATCAATAAATGGAGGTTCCTCCTTATGACATATGCTAGATTATGGAAGATGTAAAATGTTTGACTTCCCCTCCCCCCCCCCTTTTTTTTTGACTTTGTACTTTGCTGCATGTTTCATTCATTTTTAATCAATAAAGAATAAATTGTCTGTGGTGGTGTAAGGATGCTTCACTTTGGTGACTGTTGATGGGAGCAGCAGGAAGTGAAAAGGTGTATTAATAAACAATGTAAAGCCATTGTACAAATGGGGAAGCTGAAATCCCCAAAGAGAGCAATCTGCCCAGATAAATTTGTTAGGGTGGCATAATGAACTCCTCTCACTGACCTTTTCTGTTTACCTCTGCCCATGCTATTGAGTGGGCTAAAAATACCAGATTCAAGTCCTTGGGAAGTTCTTTTGGAAAGTTCAGAGCAAGGCTGAACTTGTTCCCATTACTCAGCCCTTCTTCACCTTCTGGGTAAGTAACTCCTGCCCCACAGGTGGTCTTTGAGCCTTGACAGGACTGCTTTGGGGGGTAGGTCCTGGTAATTCAGGGCTCAGGTCCTGGGACCTTGGGAATTGACGGTATCATAGCTGATTGAATTTCCTTTTAAGGTAAACGGGTTGTGTGGAGACAGGAGGAGGAGGTGCTGACTACTCAGAAGTGACCATGGTGTATGTGGGGGTCAGGGCAGGCACACGAGTAAAGTGTGGAGGCCTCTCCACTTGCCCATCATCTTTAGCAAGATCAGGTCTTGTCCAGAAGCCAGGCTCCTCACCTCTGCCTACTCATAGTAGCAATGCTCAGGGCCACAGTTGATGGATTCCTCCTGTGGATCAGCTCACCTACCCTGCACATTTTGTGATTTTGTTTTTTTGAAGTAGACTTTTATCTTTCAGGGTAGTTTAATGTCACAGAAAAATTGAACAGAAGGTATACAGAGTTTTCCATATACCCCCTGGCCCCAGGCAGGCACAGCCTCTCCCACTGTCAACATCCTGCCCTAGAGTGGTACATGTATTGAATTGATAAACTTACATTGGCTCTTCATTATCACCCAGAGTCAATAGTATACCTTCGAGTTCACTTGCTGTTGTATATTTTATGGTTTTGGACAAATGGATAATGAGATGTACCCATCATTATGATCTCACAGAGAATAGTCTCACTGTCCTAAAAGTATGCAGGCTTTTCAGAACAGGCTTTTTTTCACACAGTTATATGCACTTAAGGTCTCCATTCCCTTTTGTGGCTTGATGGCTAGTATTCCATGTCTGGATATACCACGGTTTATTAATCCATTCACTTGCTGTGTGCAAGTTTTGACAGTTACGAATAAAACTGCTCTAAGCACCTTTGTGCATGTTTTTGTTAATATGTGGGTATGAGTGCCAGCTCGATTGAGTAAATACCATGGAGCCCCCTAGCAGATTCTGTGGTAAAAGTAGTCTTTTCTTAGGAGACCACCTACCATCGAAAGTGCCTATGCCATTGTTGCATTCCCACCAGGGAATGAGAGTCCCTTCTGATGCATGTGTTCACAGGCACTTGGCGTTGTCACGGTTTTAGATTTGGGCCCTGATGATGGCGTGTGAGAATTTTTTCATATATGCCCCTTTGCCATCTGTGTATATTCTTCAATGAGGTGTCTGTTAGGTCTTTTGCCCACTTTTTTTAAGATTTTTTTTTTTCTTAATGAGGATCATTTTTTTAAGGTCGTTATTGAATTTGTTAGAATATAGCTTCTGTTTTATGTTTTGGATTTTTTTGGCCTCAAAGCATGTAAGATCTTACCTTCCCGACCAGGGCTCAAACCCACACCCCTTGCATTGGAAGGCAAAGACTTAACCACTGGACCACCAGGGAAGTCCCTAAAGTACTTTTAAATGTATGTATATTCTTTTTAGAATACTGTTGCACACTTAAGAGACTATAGTATAAATATAGCTTTCATACTAGAAAACAGACTCATTTTATTGTGTCTAGTTATCCCAGCACCATTTGTTGAAGAGACCATCTTTACTCCATTGTATTGCCATTGTTCTTTTGTCAAAGATCAGTTGAATCGGTTTTTTCCGGGCTGTCTGTTCTGTTCTGCTGATGTGTGTGTGTGATCTTTTTGCCTGTACCACACAGTGAAGTCAGGTATTCTCAGTCCTGCACCTCTCTTCTCAAATACTGTGTTGACTGTCCTCAGACTTACCCACCCTGGGCCTCCAAGCAGTCTGTCAATTACAGTCAGATTTTCTCACTGTGGTACTGATTGCTGTGGAAGTCTGAGTTTGTGAATTTCTGCTCCAAGAAGTTATAATTCTCTGTATTGAACTTTCTGGCTCCAATTTGAGGGAGAGCAGTTTGCCCTGTGACCTGATGGATCTAAGCAGAATTGTTGATTTTTCAGTTTGTCCAGCTTTCTACCTGCTAGAACACAGTGACAGCTGCTAAGCTGTTTACATTCTGGACAAGAAACCAGAACTCCTACCACATGTTTTTATTTACTAGAGTCGTTCTTAGCAGTTCCCTGGTGGTCCAGTAGCTAAAACTCCGAGCTCCTAGTGCAAGGGGCCCAGGTTCGATCCCTGGTCAGGGACCTAGATCCCACATGCTGCAACCAAAGCTCCTGTGTGCTGCGAGTAAGACATGGCGCAGCCAAATAAATATTCAGAGTCATTCTCAAATTTGGAAGAGATCTGAGACACCCTCCAGTGCATCGCTATAGGTGATGTCTGGGGAGTACTTTCCCCTCCCTGCACCATACGTACAAACACCACCCTCTACCCTACCGGCAGATGACTGTGTATCCATTCAAGTTACACTACTCCAGTGATCAGAACACTCTTCTCTTTGGTCTTAGCAGTGCCATTGACTAAAGACAGGTGCAAGGAGAGGAAGAGGAGAGAGACAGGCTGCAGGTTCTCCCTTAAGGGCTGGAAGCAGTCCTGTCCTCCCCCACAGCCTCCCAGAAGACAGTGAGGGTGGCCAGACTGCTGGAGACGCCAGAGAGCAGCATATACGCTACCTGGGAGCTCATCCTCCCAGGTCAGCGAGACCACAGTGTTCCTGGGAGGACTCCCCCGTTGTGGGCTTTGAAGCATCATGGGAAGCCTTTGGCAGACTGGTTGGGGTGGGAGAGGGGCAGGTTTAAGAGAACAAATAATTTAATCGAAAACTTAGAACTGGGGGAACTGGGAGTGCAGTGAAACCAATGGAGTTTGGGCACCTGTAGTTAAAATTGTGGAAGGTCTTTGGTTGAGTCTCACTCTTCTGTCAGTCTCCTCATCATTTATCTGTCTCTATTTTAGAATCCTACACCAGGAAATGGAATAATCCTTAGAGACCATCTAGTTCGAACTTTCCTTTTACACAGATGCAGAAATTGAGGCCAGAGGGCTAGAAGGGGCAGACGGCGGATCACAGTGAATCACTGGTG